CTCAACCCTCCTCCTCTTCCCCTCCGTCCCCCATTTGTGCCTCCCCTCCCCCCCCCCCCCCCCATCCCAGCGGCTCAGCCTCATTTGATTTTGTCAAGGGCACCTTATCTGGCGGGAGCGGCAGCAGCACAGCGGCCCACTCCCCCCTCACACCCCCCTTCCCCCATGTATCCCTCCCAACCCCCACCCAGTGGATCAGCCTCAATAGACTTTGTCAATAGCACCGTATCCGGCGGGCACGGCAGCAGCACAGCGGCGTACATGATTTGTAACCCCCTCCCTCCCCCATGTGCCCCATGCCAATCCCCCCAGCGGCTCAGCCTCAATAGACTTTGTCAAGGGCACAGTATCAGGTGGGCACGGCAGCAGCACGGCGGCCTACATCGCCCACGGGGGCACTCCTCTCCATCTCGTTCGCTCTGCATCCTTACTCCCCATCCCCTGGCATCCCATATGTCCCCTGCTATACCCTCCAGTGGCTCAGCCTCAATCGATTTCGTAAAGGGCACGGTATCAGGCGGGCACGGCAGCAGCACGGCAGCCTACATCGCGCACGGGGCACTCCTCTCCATCGCCTTCGCTCTCCTCATGCCCCTCGCCATCCTCCTCGCCCGTCTCCTCCTCGCCGACCGCCCCGACGGTGCCCCCCTCAACCTCAACCGTGCCTCATACATCCATGCTGACGCCAATGGGATCGCACCGTCACCCCAGCAACAGCCTGCAAAGAACCTCCGGCCGATGGGGTTTCAGTTGCATCGGGGCATTCAGGTGTTTGCGCTGGTGGTGATGGTGGCGGGGATGATTGTGATTGCTGTGCAGTCCGGGTCAAAAGGGCTGAACTGGACGCATGGGCAGGTTGGGTTGGCCGCGGTGATTCTCGCGCTGGTGCAGGGGATTGTGGGGTTCGTGCGACCGGATAAAACCGCTCCGAACCGCTTCATGTGGCTGGTGGCGCATTGTCTCGTTGGCGCCACAACCATTGCGCTCGCGTGGGCGGCCATGTTCCTGGGCATTGACCTATATCACATCAAGTTCATGGAAAACGTTACGGTGAGTGCTCCATGCATGCATGTATTCCCTCTGCTGTTCAATATCATTCTGTTGTAATTATCATTGTTGTCGTCGTTATCATAATCTGCATTATTCATTGCCAGTGTTGTTATGGTTGGTGTTTCTGTCGATATCATGATTGTTATTATGTCCTGTTGTGGATTGTTCTTCAGCCAGAGAACTGGTGAGAGGGAAGAGGCGTCAATTGAGGGATGCAAAAGGAGATCATGCGAGATGCTGGCTCAGGGGAACTCTTCAAGCATCTGCAAACTGTGCTAATACCTCCAACTCCAATCTTATTGCATCCTTCCCCCCTTCCCTCATGCAGTGGTGCTACTGGGTCTGTGGCATGTGTGTGGGCGTCTTTGGCGTGGCATACTTGGTGTTGGTCATTCCCGACAGCATTCTATCGTTGAAGGGGCGTAAGGATCACGGTGACGATGGCAAGGGCACACCTGCTGCTTTTTAGAGGGACGGGGAGTCCACCATTAATGTGCTGCGTTGTGTGCACGAGTCGTTTGATGCCCATTGTGCCTAATAAAATAGAGGTGAATCCTCCTCATCTCTTTGATAATTGCAGTGTTGCTTGTGTGATGTGTAAGTACATCCTTTCGAATGGGGATGTATAGAGTAAAATGAGATTCTTCAAACCTCATCGTGCACTTACAAGCTTACGGAAACATGTTACATGTGTACCTTGATGAGCGTTATCCTGTTGATGGACGAAATCATAAAACCCACACTAGGGGAGTCCCCTGTGGGTAGGCTACCAGCTTAGATAGCGTTATTGGCGCTTCAAGGCTGGTGGGGTGGGAGCGTTTGTTGGACTTAACCTACTGTATTCCTTGCATGAGTGTGTTAGCACCTTGCTTGCTGCCTCTAGCTTGTCAACTAGTGGAATTACTAAAGGTGAGTATGTAAGTAGTCATAGGTTATTTTATGGCCTGTCTTCAGTTATCCATCTCCGTATTTTCAAACCTCACCCCGCCAAACCAATTATCCTTGTTACTGCATGGCGCGATACCCGTTTCAGTTTCCGTTCATACAGTCGTCATTCCGATGTCTGAGCCGAATTGATCAGATCAGCCTCCGTGACGCGCAACTCTCAAGGCGCCATGCATGACCTGGACCCTACTCAACGTTATAAAGTGAAAACAAGCCGCTCGTAAAATCACAGAATCGGCCGCTCGTAAAATCACAGAATCGCACTTCACCGCAATAGTTTGGGCTCGTTTTACATGCCCCATGCATCTCTCTTGAATTCCTGTGTCTCGGCTGACCTCTCCTCCACTCAGGTATTTCCGCGCACACACGCAAACACACACACACACACACACACGATTATTAAAGCTCACAGCATTCGACGTATCATTGGCCTGGACTAGTCATGACGTCCTATAATTGTCGTGACGACTCTTATCCTTCTCTTTCGCATTGCAAATCAGCCGCACGCCGCCCATTCTTTCGAAGAGTATTTCACAAGCGAGCGCGAACAGCTCGATGTTCAGGGGATTTTGCTTACGCGACTAGCTTTCCCATCTTTCGACTTTGAATTAATCATTATTTACCAAAGTTGAAGGGCTACGCATTTAACCAATTCGTTTCGTTTTCTCGGTATGTCGACTCATCGAATGACGTCAACACGGATCAACAAACTGCTAGCCGTCCTCCTGGCCGCGTGTCTTGTGGCGCTGCCGCCTTTCGTGGCTTTCGCCAACGCGCAGGGCGACAGCAGTGTGACGTGCGACTCGTCGTCTCTACCGGACTACCAACACTCCGTCAAATTGAATGACGGAAGGTAATAATTTCGTGGATTGTCGTCTCTTCCTGAATCCCCAGAATCCACACATGATCGTCTTCCAAATCTCAAACTTCCAGCCAGTCCAGGCTGCTAATTTTTCTACTAGTTTCCTCAAAACTCAGTTACTTTGGATGTCACACAATTTTTCCCCAGTTGTTTTGCAACCTTTCCTCCTCCTTTCCTCTTTTCTATCCCCTCCTCGTCTCGCCGCGCATCAGTCTCATCCTTCACTGGAAGACCGTCAACTCCACGACCGTCAACTTCGCCGCGCAAGCGCTAGCTGGGCCGGTTGCAGCTGGCTGGTTCGCCGTCGGATGGTCCGGATCGTCCGGCATGATGGTGCCGGGAGATGCGGTGATTGGCAATCTGCCAGGCGGGACAATGGACGCGTATTATCTGGCAAGCCCGGTCCCGGATCAGGTGCTTCCAACCACGAAATTCAGCATTGGGAGCGCAGCCGTGTTGAGTACGACCGCCGATAACTCGCTCATCATGAAGTGAGTGAGCTTCCCAACACATCCGATCTGTTTGTTTGCTTCTTTTCTTTTCTTTTCTTCTATTTCCTTTTCTTTCCTTTTGGTTCATGCTGTTGCCTGTCAGTGTTAGCAGAGAAACTCAGTTGAAATAAGTGTAATGTCCCTTCCTGAAAGTGTCCCTTGCTGAAAGTGTACCTTCCTTAAAGGTGTGCACCTTTTTCCACTCCAGTAGCCTAAGTAACCGGACGCTAGCGTTTCAACTAGATTTATTCATCACACCCACAATGAGTTCGTTCCATTGAATGGAATTTCGCCAATTTATGCACATATTGTTATACCCCATATTGCATTTCCCGGTTGCAGGTTCTCGCGCTCAGTGAAAGACGGCAATGTGAAGGTGCTGCTCAAGGGAGTCAACTACATGATCTGGGCCTACTCGGGCAGCTCTCAGACCCTCTCCCAGCACCCTATGAGTAACATGTACGCACCATATGGTTGTGTACTCATCTATATATACCTTCGTGTTCGCTTCTATGCCCTCGCATACTTTTCCATACCCTTCTATACCCTTGTACAGCTGCCTACACCCATCTATACCCTTCTCTTCGTGTTGTTTGTTTCCTCCCCACAGGGGATTCCAGCCGATAGACTACAGCTGCCCCTCTTCCACCAGCAGCAGCGGCGGCAACATTGGCAACCATCTTTCTATAACATGTACACCCTTTTCTTCGTGGTGTTTCCTCCCCACAGGGGATTCCAACCGATAGACTACAGCTGCCCCTCTTCCACCAGCAGCAGCGGCGGCAACATTGGCAACCATCTTTCTATAACATGTACACCCTTTTCTTCGTGGTGTTTCCTCCCCACAGGGGATTCCAGCCGATAGACTACAGCTGCCCCTCTTCCACCAGCAGCGGCGGCGGCGGCACGGGAAGCACTGGCGGCACCGGCAACACGGGGAGCACCGGGAGCACCGGCAGCACTGGCAACACTGGCAGCACTGGCAACACCGGCAACACAGGGAACACTGGCAGCACTGGCAGTACCGGCAGCACAGGGAGCAGCAGCAGTACCGGCAGCAATGGCAGCAACAGCAGTGGGTTGTCCTCCTCCCAGTCACAGGGGCCGGCCTGCCATCCCTCCTCCCTCGCGGGCTACACCTGCTCCACTCAGCTCAGGCAGAACGCGTGAGTGTGGAGTATGTGAGTTGTTTTTGTAAATATGAGCTGTTTGTTTCCAGGATACACATGCTCCTTTTGGTTCGCAAGAACGCGTTGGTGCGGTCTGCGTTACTTCTTTTGTTCCTCCTGTGCATGGTAACGAGGAACAAAAGAAGTAACGCTTCGGTGGGGTCTGCGCCCAGGGCGGTCAACCAGGATAGCACGGCGAGTCCTGAGTTCTCTCCTTGTCACCATCCTCTCCCATCTCTGCCTCCCTCCCTCGATCTCCCTCCCCCTCCTCGTCGGATCCAGCTACATCCTGCACTGGGCGGTCATCAAGGACAGAACAGTGAGCATTGAATCCTAATGTTGTCCCCATCCTCTTCCCCCTCTGCCTCCCCTCCCTCCAGCTACATCCTGCACTGGGCGGTCAACAAGGACAGCACAGTGAGCATGGCAGCACAGGTCGCCACCACGGGCTACATCGGCATTGGTTTTTCCAAAGACGGCCAGATGATCAACTCTGATGCAGCCATTGGGAACGTGCCAGCTGGCACGCTGGCCAACGGGGCGGCGGTGGGGGCGTATTACATGAGTGGGCGTGATGTGGCATCGGTGCAGCTAACTGACACGTGGAAGGTTACCAACACGTCGGTTACCACCAACCAAAACGGTTACACCATTATACGGTAAGGACGAGGAGATGTGGGGGCGAATTGCATGGTGAAACCTTCAAAATACCATGTTGAACACTCGTGGCGTCAGTGCAGCTGACTGACACGTGGAGTGTTACCAAGACGTCGATTACCAGTGCAAATGGATAAACTGTAATACAGTGAGTAAGCAAGGTAGTATTTGATCCGGCATGCTTGACAGTCAGTGCAGGAAACTGGGACGTGGAGTGTTACCGACATGTTTGTTACCAGCCAAAACGGTTACTCAGGTAAGCATTCTGAACTATGGAGCCGTATTTCTGGATTATGTGACACTTGGAGTCTTACCAACGTGGCCGCATCTCTATATCTCCCCCTCCTTCCCCACAGGTGCACGCGCAGCATGGGCACGGGAAATGTGCCCATCAACCCAAATGGCCCCACCACCATCATTGTGTTCGTGCCCTCATTCCAACTCCCCTGTACCTTCCTTCTCCCTACGACCCTTTTCGTTCCCTCCTCCCTCCCCACAGGTTCACGCGCAGCATGGGCACGGGGAATGTGCCCATCAACCCAAATGGCCCCACCACCATCATCTGGGCCTACTCGCCTGACGGCTCCACCACCCTCGCTTTCCACGCCAGCAACTAGTAAGCGTCTCGGTGGCATGGCGTGGCATGGATGTCATGGCTTGGCATGGATGTCATGGCGTGGCATGGATGTCATGGCGTGGCATGGATGGCATGGCGTGGCATGGATGTCATGGCGTGGCATGGATGTCATGGCGTGGCATGGATGTCATGGCTTGGCATGGATGTCATGGCGTGGCATGGATGTCATGGCGTGGCATGGATGTCATGGCGTGGCATGGATGTCATGGCGTGGCATGGATGTCATGGCGTGGCATGGATGTCATGGTACAGCACGGCATGGTACAGCATGGCATGGTACAGCATGGCATGGCATGGGACGGCACGACATGGCTTGGCATGGCACTGTATGGCATGGCATGGCATGGCAAGGCATGGCATGGCATGGCATGGCATGGCATGGCACGGCATGGCACGGCATGGCATGGCACGGCATGGCATGGCATGACGTCCCCGCTCTTCCCCCTTTCCCCCCTCTTCCCCCAATCTATCCCTCCCACCTCTGCCAGCGGGTCAGCCTCAATCGATTTCATCAAGGGGACGACCACAGCAGGCGAGGGCAGCAGCACAGCAGCCTACATCGCGCACGGGGCACTCCTCTCCATCGCCTTCGCTCTCCTCATGCCCCTCGCCATCCTCCTCGCCCGCCTCCTCCTTGCTGACCGCCCCGACGGTGCCCCCCTCAACCTCAACCGCAGCCATCGGCCTCTAGGGTTCCAGCTTCATAGGGGTATTCAGCTGTTTGCACTCGTGGTCGCAGTGTCGGGGACGGTTGTGATCTTTGTTGTATCAGGCTCTAAGGGGCTGACGTGGACGCATGGGAAGATTGGATTGGCTGCGGTGGTTCTTGCACTGGTGCAGGCTGTGGTGGGGTTTGTGCGACCGGATAAGACCGCTCCGAACCGCTTCAAGTGGCTGGTGGTGCACTGCTTGGTTGGTGGTACAACCATTGGGCTTGCGTGGGCTGCCATGTTTCTGGGCATCGACCTCTACCGCACCAAGTTCATGCAAAACGTCACGGTGAGTCTCTTGTTAACTTAATTCCACTCTGTTTTGTCTTTTTTAGTAAATAAAGAGTTGTTGAGGGAGGAAGGGAACCAAAGGGTGGGGGGTGGGGCAAGAGGTTGAGAGGGAAGGTGCCCAGCTGGGTGTTCCCTTATGCTGTTTGTAGACTCTAACCATTCTTCCCCTTCTCTTCCCTGCCTTCCCTCCTGCAGTGGTGCTACTGGGTCTGTGGCGTGTGTGTGGGCGTCTTTGGAGTGGCATACCTGGTGTTGGTCATTCCCGACAGCTTTCTATCGTTGAAGGGGCGTAAGGTTCAGAGTGACGCTTGAAAGGGCACACCTGCTGCCTTCTGAATGGATGGGGTCCACGACTGCGTGGGTGACGTCGAATAAATGGAGAGGTGAAATCCCGTCTCATTAAATATTGGAGCATACGAGTCGATCGAGGTGCACAGTAGTACCTATTGTTTGAGAGATAGATAGTAGTTTTGATATTAAAATTAGGCGTATCTAGGTGCCTCAATAATAAACGAAGCATCCAGCGCTTTGAGTCTCTTGCGTCTCTTCTGACTGCAACCAAGCAGGCACTGCGTTTTAGCGTTGTCACATGTCCTGTTGTTCCAGCATTTGTGTATCAAACCATAGCACCGTAGATGCGTACAGTGTTTCACGCGTTTGCAACTACTGTATCGAAACTCATTTTTACGAGGCATTGAACGCGCACCATGGACCAGCTGCGTGAGTATGACTGGCTGGCGGCATTCCCAAGGCTCATCCACATCCCCTCCCAACACTGATCGGCAGCACCATAGACAGAACACAAGTCAGAGAGTTAACCTTCATTCTTGTTTCTGCTAGGTTGCCGTTTGCGACGGAACACAAGGCAATCGGTGATCGAACTTGCTGGCCATAGGAGCGTTCGCCATGGCTCTGGCTGCCGCACCTTCCGCTGCATGGCGACTCGCCGTCTCCAGCGCGCTGACCTCGGGAGTCACCACCGGGTCGAGCACTGAGAGCTCGCGTTGCTGCACGCATGTCAGTGGATCCTCTTTTCACACGCCATTGATTTTTTTTGCAATTTTGCCGCGCTCGAACAATTTATTTTCAATCTTCATCGAGATTTTGTCTGACTGCGAGGAACTACGTTGCTGAGCGCAAAAGTATGTCGTGGGTCTTCCGGAAATTGAGTTATTTTTTTCATTTTTCATTAGAGAATTGCTCACCTGAAAGTTTGTGTTTGCTTACAACATTGTCGCTTAGCTGTATGTGTTTTAGGATTTCACAAGAGTTGTTACGATTTCTTAACCCTTGCCTAGACTACGACAATTATGGAAGTCCAACAGAATTCGTCAGCCATTTTAAATCATCCGTGCTTTTCCTCCTTTCTCGAGGTTCCAGGATGCTTCATTCGCTACTCCGCGGAGTCTCTCCGCCACGGCCCGCGGGTCCCGTCACGTTGCGCGCGCCAAGTTCCAGGGCTTCCGCCAGTCGGCCGGGGAGGCGCAGGAGGCGGACAGCGCAGCCGCTGCTCCGGCGAGCGCGGAAGAGAACGGCGCAGCCGTCGCAGCCGTTGCAGAGGGAGCCGCGGAGGAGAGGGACGCGGGAGGACGCGACGACGAGTGAGTGACTGGCGCGAAGCTCGCTGCGTTCGTTGGAGTTTCATTTATTAATGCATTCATGCATTCCTTACATACATTCATGCATTCCTTACATACATTCATGCATTCCTTCATTCATTCAAGCACCCATAAATTTCTGTGTTTGTACGTTTCTGTGTTTGTACATTTATGTGTTTATACATTTCTGTGTTTATACATTGGCTTCAATTGGTCCCCGGTTGTTATCTTCTTATTGTCTTCTGGATGTTCGCCTCACCTTCCCCTCCTTGTGTCTCGCAGTGTGCTCCCGACGGACCTGGATGGCGCTGTCCGCCAAGCAGCGCAGTCGGCGGCTTACTTCTGCAACGGAGGCGGCACCCGCGCCATTGTGAGTGCGTTTCTGCATTAAGCTGTTCTGCAGCAGCACTAGCGTCATTCTCTCAATGCACTGCATCACTAGCGCCAAAAGTACTTACATAATTTAAAAAGTCCAGCTGTAGCTATAACAAAAGAGCTGAGTTTCTGCAAACGAATTGAATTCAGAAAGTGAGAGACAGTCAGTGTCAGCCCTTCTCATGTCGTCTCAAGACTCATCAGAGCCGCGGGAATGGCCGAGCGACCCTCATTAAGTCTAATTGGGGAGAGCGCAAGAATTGGGGAGGAAGGAAGCTTCCTCTCCATCCCGCGGATAGAGAGGCCCTCTTTCCTCCTCGCCTTCCTGTCTCTCCTCGGAGGGGCAGTAAGGTGGGGAGGAGGGAGGCGGGGGGAGGTATAACCAGCCCTGGGTTAGCGCTAGACATGCTGCACAGGTTGAAGCCTCCCCCACATGCGCCCTTGCACAAGCAAGCTGGCACACAGATGGAAATCACTGCTTTTATAAACACCTCTTGCATCTCGTTCTGTGCCGCTCTCACGTGGTGTGGAGCTTATTGAGCAAGAGAGCAAATTGGTGAGGTGAGGTGCCTGAACCCTCCATTGTCCCATGGCCCATGTTTTTCACATGCCTCCCGTTCGTGCCAGGTGGAACTGCTGGTGCCAGATTTGTAGATCAAGTCAGAGGAAGGCGCACGCACAGCAGCTCCTGTGTCCCTCCTTCTGTCCTTCTCATCCGTCCCACCCACCCCTCCCATGTCACATGGCCCCTGTTCTTTTCATCTACCCACACACCTGTGCTCTGCGGCCAGGTGGAACTGCTGTTGCCGGATTTGGAGATACGAGTCAGTGCCGTGCAGTGCAGTGCAGTGATCTGTTCCCACTCCTTGCATTCCGCGCATTCCTCCCATTAATCCCTGCGGCCAGGTGGAACTGTTGGTGCCAGATTTGGAGATCAAGTCAGACGAAGGAGCGCAGCAGCTGCTGTGGGACACCAGCCGCACCTTCCTCGACTCCCTCAAGGGACACCTTGACTTTGAGGTAAGGCGTGGTCCAGTGTGGTGCAGTGCAGTGAAGCCAGGTGTATCCAGGTGGGGTGCAGCAGCTGCTGTGGACACCAGCCGCACTTCCCTCCACTCTCTCAAAGACCACCTGGACTTTGAGGTGAGACGTGGTGCACTGCAGTGCAGTGTGGTTCGGTGCAGTGATTCCAGGAAATTACAGGTGACTGCAGCAGCTGCTGTGGGACACCAGCTGCACCGTCCCTGATTCCCTCAAGGGCCACCTCAATTTTTGAGTTGAGACATGGTGCAGTGATGCCCCACACGGCACAGTGTGGGGCAGCCAGGTTAGCAGCAGTGAAGGCCAGCAGATTAGGATCATGGTTCGGTGCGGTTAAGTCAGGTCAGCTGTGATGGAAGTGGAACTTGCTTATCCTCTCCCCTCCTTCCTAACTCTCTCCCATCTCTACGCTCCCTTTCTACTCTCCACTCCTGTCTCCACCCCTTCCCCCACTCCTTCTCCCACCAGAATGTGAGGGCCATTTTCCCAGACGCCGGGTCAGCAGCGCTCCTCAAGAACCAGTGGCCGGACGCTCCCTTTGCCTTTTCAAGCCTGATGGACCGCAAGCCAGTGCAGGAGCAGGACGATGTGGTCGTGCTCATCACCCCCGAGTACCAGCAGCTCAGCGTGGTCGAGTCCATCGGGGGCATGCTCGCCACAGAGGACGGCTTGACCCGCCCGCTCATCATGTACAACCCGAGGCTGGTCAGTGGGGATGTGGGCATCGGGCTGAACGTGCGGCGGCTGAGGGAGCGGTTCCTGTCGACGTTTACCACGGCGTTCTGCCTGAGGCCGCTGCCAGTGGGAGCCATCTACCGGCGGTACCCCAAGTGAGTAGAGAGAGGACTGTGTTGAGTGCTCATTGCTATTATCTTTCTTCGTGCAGCGCGGTAGAATTAGAGTCCATAGGCGGCCTGCGGCCGCTGCCGGTGGGAGCGATCTACCGGCGGTACCCCAAGTGAGTTGACAGTTGACTGTGTTGGACTGCTTGTGGATAGCTCGTGAATAGTTCCTGTGTGACCCACCCTTTTTTCTCCCTCTCTGTTTTTTTGCTTGTGGTTAGTGGCGTCTAGGGAATGTGGTATGCAATGCCAGCAACCGTGTGTCCGTTCGTCCCCGTTTTTGTTTTGATCCTTGATTGTGCTGCGGAGATCAATGTAATTTATTGCTCCTCTGCTCGCTCTCCTTGCAGCCCCTGGCAGTTGTATCTTGACGACCCTAATGAGCCCGGCCGATATCTTCTGTTTCGGCAACAAGGGTCAAAACCCAACATCGACGATATTGAGGTGAGTTTTGTCACGTTATGACAAGGTTCGTAGGTAGTGTTTCTCATACACACCTACCATCATATACTCACGCACATCATTTGTTTCATGTGGGCTGAGCAGTAGGTAGTGTCTCTCACACACACCTACCATCATATACTCATGCACATCATTTGTTTCATGTGGGCTAAGCAGGATATGTACATGGCAGCATCGGGAGGGGGTGAGCCGGGAGCAGAAGAGCCTTCTTTCATCGAGCAGGCTTTTGGAGTTCTTTCATCCTTCAACCGGTTCATGCAATCTCTTTCCAAGTAAAGGACAGAAATGTATGTACTCCAGTTCCACTAGTATGGTTGCCTGGATGGATAAGTATTCGAATTTGTATAACACCCTTGCATTTCATAATGTATGCACCTGGTTTTCTTTGGCTGCGTTCTGCGGGCGCATCAGCTCTGATGCGCCCTAGGCTCGGCCTGATCCGCACATTGACAAATTGAGGTTCGGGAATGAGGAATTTGAAATTGACTGAAAATTAGAGGTTCAGAAAATGGAGATTGAGGTTCGGGAAATCGGAAAATGGAGATTTCGAATTTCGGGCATGTCAATTTTCGATCTCAAATTTCCGAGGTATTCCAGGGTGCTGAAGGTTCTCTGAAGCAGGGAAGCACGCACCTGACACCTTCCCCACACCCCTAATTTCGAATTTCAATAGTCCAATTCGATTCAATGCGCGCATCATGCGCGTTCCCTGCGTTGCATCATGCGCGCATCAAAGATGCGTCAGATTGCTAGGACGATAAATTTATCGGAAAGCGGCGACATGAAAATTTGTGGTTGCCAAAAAGACCGTTCTGCAGGCATTCGGGCTTGGTTTGCCTCGGCAGCCAAGCGCTTATCGCGAGCCTTGATAACCTTTCAGCTGGTTATCGAGGAAGGCTCCTGGAACATCTAAAAAATTTGCAATGTACATTGATGCGGGCTAATGCGGCCGCAGAACGCGGCCTTTATGTGCACTGCACTGACATTAAGAAATAAGAATTGTATCACCTTGCATCAACGCAACGTGGATTGTCCTGTCTCCTTGCTGGTTCCGACACGCTCACCAGCAATTTTCCAGACATTTGGGAGCATGCACCGACAGGTGTCCGCGACCTGCTGCCACGCGTTCAGGTACGGTACGGCAATTTCAATGGCTTGCGCCAGGAAGGCCAATCACAACCAAGGACACAAAAATCGGTTCCGCCAATCATGTATTTTCCATGTCAGCCCCGCTTGCCCCCACCTTAGGTCCCTGCCCCTGACTCGCCTCGCCGCCATGACGCTTCTGCACGAAATGAGGGATGGTAGACGATGCTGGAAAATTACTGCATGACAAGGTTCGGTTTAGTACGGTTTTCGAGATACTGAATCTGCAACCATCTGGGGGGATAACGGCTAGTTGAGGTGAAGTGTGTCTGCAACTAGGAGGCTTTCCTTACAGGTCTCCTAAAACTTAGTCAGCCGAAGTGTTAGTCTGGACTTCCGGGTTTTTCCACAATTTAGCTAAAAAGGAGCACGGGCCTAGACTTTACTAGATGTGTTTTCATACGTAAAGCTTGTCCTTGAAGCTCGCAGAGCCTTCCCGTTCATTCTTTAGCGTCGGTGAGTTTGGTCACAATCGTCAACCACACAATCCGGTCTAACTGCGTAAACAGTAAGAGTACCACCTATAGAAACAGAAAGAGATCACAGCAAGTCATGAGTGCGACGGCAGCTGGCTTGGCCGTGGCGAAATGGATTTCATCCACGGCCATTCGCGCACAGACGCCACCAGAGTCAAGCTACCTTCCAAGTAATTCCTTAACCCCGGGATTATCAGTACAGCCAAGGCGGTCACCGCGATCAGATCGCTCAGCTCATCCCCGAGCTTTATTAAGTACGGGTGCCGTCAGCAAAATCGCTCGCCGAAAATCAGATCTCGGCACAGCGGTCAGCCGCCTGGATCTCGGAAGCCGGCGACGTGGACGAGATTCGCGAAACAGGCTCACCTCGCGAAGGCTCGTGCAGGTAAGGTCGTTCGTCAGATTACAGTCTCTATGACTTCTTACATTATGATGAGTGAACTCGTAGGGCTTGTTTTTCCCATCGTTCAGATGACTTTCCAGTCGACTCAGAAGTCGTTCGTCAGGGTTGCATTCTCTATGTCTGCCTGAATTATGACGCGCGGGCCTGTGGGGTTGTGATTGGTGTCGTTGAGTCGTTGTGATTTGCCGGTCTTTGGCGGGGAATGCAGATGATTCGGCTGCATGTTGTTGCGGATCTGCCTCGTCATGCAAAACATGAGCACCAGACGGGTCTTGCTTCCCGCTCCGCTTCGTGTCGAATAACCGCCCTATGCTCCTATTCTTTTCTCCCCAGACCAACGCCAGCCAGAATTCCGGCGGCGCTAGGGACGACAGCAGTAGCAGCAGTGGCGGTGGCGGCGGTGGGAAGAGCGAGGACGACGCAACATCGCTGGCGGCGGACGCAGGCGGGATGGACTGGCGGACGTTCCGCGCGAAGCTGGTGGCGGGCCACGAGGCCACGCGGAGCGTCTCCGCGCCCTCCCCCGCACAGGAGGCGGTGGGGCTCGAGATCTGGCAGGTGGGGTGCTGAAGGGGTTTGATTGTTCTAGGCTTCGAAGAACTGGCTTGAGCTTTGGTCGGTGCGGTGGTGTAGGTGGGGCTGAAACCCCAAGCAAAAATCCGAGGTTCGGTGGCAGGTTTGGTGCAAGGCCGGGCTTTTTTCCTGCTTTGATATCCCTCGGATACCATATTTCAACCCCCGTTTCGTCTGTCGAACTTTCTCCCTCACCACACCACACCATCATCAGGACCGCACGAGCCTCGAGAAGTGGGCACAGCTGGCCTCGCAGAACCCGCGTCTAGCAAAGGAGGTGCCCCTTTCCCTCCTGTCCCCTCTCCTGTCCCCTCCCTACACCTTCTTATCCCCCTCCTCCCCCTTCACCACCAACATCATCAGGACCGCATGAGTCTGGAGAACTGGGCGCTGCTGGCCTCACAGAACCCGCGCCTGGCCAAGGAGGTCCCCTGGGTGCACTCCACAGGGGGCGCGGAGGCAGGGGGCGTGCTGCTCGCCGCGCCCTTCCCCCAGCTCCCCGGACAGGGGGGAGGGGAGGGGGGAGATGGAGGGCGGGGAGGGGGAGCGGGCGGGTTGGACAGGCGGTTGTGGCAGGCGGCTGTGTTCCTGGTGGAGCACGGGGGGGCGGGCAGGGAGTCGTGGGGGCTGTTGCTGAACCGACCATCGGGCTACACGATTCAAATGGTGGGTGAGCGCATTCGGCGTGTAAGATTGTTAAGATTATGAATTGTGAAAGCGTTAAGAAATGACTCTCTGGAGGAGCATGGGGGCGCAGGCAGGGAGTCATGGGGGCTGCTGCTGAACCGACCGTCGGGTTACACGATTCAAATGGTGAGTCGAAGCATTCGGCATGCGAGGGGTTTTTGAATGTGAGAGCGTGAAGAAACGGCTTTCGAGGTTGCTCAGAAGTAGTTCTGGTGGAGTCATCGGGGCTGTTGCAAACCAACCATCAAAATACACGAATTAGATGGTGAGAGGGTTCAGAAGGAGTGAGAATTTTGGAGGGTAAGAGCATTTAGCATTCTTTCTGATTTACATTTTTCTGTGTGGGCCCCCTTCCCTCCCCCCGCCTCCTCTTTCCCCCTTCCTCTCCTCCAGTGCTGGTAGTTTTTTTCTGTCTGCCTCCTCCCACCTCCCCGTCCCTCTTTTCCCTTCTCTCCTACCATGTATTCCCAACTTACCATCCATGCCTTCCCTCCCTCCCCTTCAACCACTCCCCCCCATTCCTATGTCCCCGTTTCCTCTCTCTCCGTCCCACCCTTCTTCACCCGCTAGGCGCTAGTGTAGGTAAATCGTTTGGAGGAGAGACATCACTGGCAAAGGTTTTCCCAACTTTCCATTCTTATCCCCACCTCCACTTCCTCCATCTCCCTGCTTCTTAGGCGCTGGCGAAGGTGAATCGCGTGGAGGATGCATCGCTGGCGGTGTTTGCGCGCAACGCCATCTACATTGGCGGGTTCAAGTCTGACGGCAGCACTCTCTACTTCCTGCACGGCCACGACCTGCCCGGGGCCAAGGAGGTGCGCTCAAGGGCTCTGCACCTTTTTCCCTGCCCATGCATCTCTTCCCCTCCCTGCTCTTGTCCCGTACTCTCTACTCTCTGGACGGCCACGACCTTCCAGGGTCCATTCGGGGGCCGTGATAGGAAATTGCCCTGCATTTTGATCCACCTCTTTGGTTAGACGATCTAGTGTGGACGAAGCTGGATGAGTACGGCCCATAGTCGTGCAAGGTTATCTTTTTCAAGAAGTCTCGGTAGGAAAATAGGGAAGAGGAAAAACCACACGTGGATGTGCTATCGTTAACCCTGGAGGTGAGATGAAAGAGAAGGGTTAACGGTAGCACTTCCACGTGTGGTCATTCCTTTCCCTGTTTTCCTCCTACGGCTCCTTGAAAAGAGATAACCTTGCACGGCTATGAGCTGTACTCATTCAGCTTCGGCCACACTGGATCGCCTATCTTAAGTGGTTGATCAAGAGACAGCGTCATTTCTTATCACGCTAAACCTGCTTTTGGGCCAAGAAGGTGCGCACATGCGTGCGTGCTATGCCTCGCATACAATGCCTCGTCATGTCATGCTTGTCTTGCTGAAATCCTCACCCTACTGTCAGGTCATGCCTTGGGTGTTCCTCGAAGGGCTGGATGCAGCAGCGGAGCAGGTGCTTCTCTTCCTCATGGTCTTTGCCTCTTCAGTGTGCCTGCATCTGTTTCACCTTTGCTACCCCCTTCTCCTCTTGCCCATCATCCCTTCAGCTCATGCCTGGCGTCTGCATGGGAGGGCTGGAGGCAGCAGCAAAGCAGGTGCTTCTTTGAAGGTCCCTCCCTCCACGTCAACATGCCTTCATTTTTTAGCCCTTCATGTCACTCTCTTCCTCGTGCCATGGCCCCCTTCAGCTCATGCCTGGCGTCTACATGGGAGGGCTAGAGGCAGCAGCGGAGCAGGTGCTTCTGGGCAACATGCCACCGACTGATTTCAGATTCTTCGTCGGGTATGTCCGGAACTTCCTAAATACTTAATCTGGTGAAGTTTATGCAATACCTCGGGTTTTTGAGACGTCTAAAAAAAGGGCAGAATGCCTCCGACTGATTTCATGTTGTTTGTTGGGTATGGCCAAAACTTCCTGAATACTTAGTCTAATGAATTTGTGGAAGACCTCCCACCTCGTATCATTCACTCTTCCGAGGACTTTATCTCATGTTCCCTGTGTTTGAATGAGTGCTACTAGAACCATTCTCCACCTTGCTCCTTCTCATTGTTCCTACGACGATTCCCATGACTGTACACATAGTTGTTTCTATCCCATGGGGGTGATGCCAGACAACTGGAGTGGCCTGCAGGCAAGCTCCAGGAGGAGGTGGATGCAGGTCTCTGGTACACTGCAGCATGCGCCAGAAGCCTTGTGCTCAAACAGTGCTTGCAGCTCCCCAAACCCCTCTGGTAAGCCCGTCCGTACCCACCTATCCCAGACCATATGTGGCGTCTTGGGATTGGTTGTTTTGCTGCGCTCTGTGCCAGGCGGTGAGACACGTTGAAGAATTACATGTGCTGTGTCGTGTGTCGATGATGCAGGCGGGAAATGTTGGAGCTGATGGGAGGGGAATATGCGGAGACCGCAAGAAAGGAATATGGCGAGGGCAGCTGAGATGGATAGTCGGCCTGCGGTTGCTGGGATTTAGCGTACTGCCCTCGTTCTCGTCAGAGCCATATTACGGTGCGTGTGTTTGGCTCCAATTCCCATGCATTGGTTTATTGGGATGAGAGTTCCGCACCTAGTAGCTTAGTTCCCTAGCGTGGATCAATCTTAATCACGTGATTCTGTATGGTCCTGCATAATCATAAGCACAGCCATCCCAAATCGGTGTAACCTGGAATGACTTACTTAAATTGCTAGCTGGGCCGATTCATAGAGCTGTAGCGTGTTCTCCACTACCAATGCCTCAATCGACGTCTGCGTATATCGCGTAATTTTTGTTTCGTTCCAGCCTTTCAGAGTGGTACCGGATGGGCTTCAGATCGGTGGTGTGCGATGCTACAAGTATCCGCAGTTTTTTGCGAATGAGCTGGTCCCGAAATTGGTCCTTCGCCCAACAACTGTGGAGTTTCGCATCTGAAGATTTCCGTATACCGCCGCCTTTCCCAAACCGCCCACATCACTCCCCTTCCAAAAGATCGCCCAGAAAAGGAGGTGGTTTGATGGGGTAGCCGAACAGGCTCGATGGTTTGGCTCGGTTCAGTGCTTATCTGTTCTGGGCCCTGGGCTCGGTCAAGGAGTTGGTTGGGTGAGGGGGGGCAGGTTCTTATTGGTGGGAAACTTCGCCTTGTTCGGTATGGGCAGCTCCTGGTTGGTCCATACCTTGGTTGTTGGCGCTCTTATCTTCCCAGCCTCTCTGATCTGGTGACTGCGGAACGGACAGGTCATCTTACGTCGTTTTCTCGGGTGCGCAATAGTGGAATGCGGCGGAAACAAAATGAACACTGGACCCCCTCTCACAGTATGGGCATGCAGCATGCATGCCTTGTCCCATATGTTTTTCTCTGAGATAAGGCAGGACTCCCGTTATAATGGTGAAAGTGCATTATACAACGTACAACGCAAAAACACCGTCGGTCGTAACCGGTGCTAGAGGGCCTAGGTACAAACAATCATACCGTACCCTCGCGGATCTCTCTACGACAACAGACACATAATCTTTACAAAGAAAAGCATCGCACAAGAGGAGAGGAACGGGAAAGAAAGACACCAGAAACAACTCAAACGCAACACCCATAAAAAGCCCCATAAAAATACTCTATAAAGAAAAAACCCAACCAGGATCCCCTACCAGACGTCCCATCTCGCACCCCATTCCCCCTCGCCCCCCCCCCCCCTCCCCCCCAAGTCACATCTGCACATCCACCATGTAGGGGGCCTCCACCCAAAGAGGCCCGCCCTCCACCTCGACATCGTCCCTCTCCCGATCCACCAAGTCCACATTCAACCCCCCCATGGAAGACGCCGCCCGAAGCAGGATGACACGAGCTTGCGCCCGTTGTAACGCCACTCCGATGAGCGCCTTCAGAGACCCCAAAAGGTAAGCCGAGAACGAAGTGTCATCCTCCCGACAAGCCCCCCGTGACACAGCTAGCCCCACGTGCGCGTCCCCCTGCTGTCGAAGCCACCGCCGGAAGCGACCGCCGAGACACCCCCACGTCTCCACTATCAAAGGGGTGAACTGCACGCCTCGGTTCCGTGCAAGAAGAGGCGCGTAATCCCCCGTTTTGCGACGCTCCCACTCCTTTGCCGCCACGCCTATAGACCGCCCGCACTGCCCTAGCAGAGATGGAGACAGTGATAGCGGGTCCGCGACACTAATCTCTAAAGCATGAGCCTCCCCAGCCATTGGTCGTCGCACCGCTACGTCAACCCGCTTCCCCGGCAGCACCGCACTATCCTCCATCGTCACCACCCCCCCTGACGCCTTAGCGATCTTTGCCACCGCAAACTTCACCTCATCATGCACCCGAGATGGACCGTGTTGGTGCTTGCATCTCAGCGCATGATGCGGGTCTGCTGGGTCATCATACGCTGCGCCACAAACACACTTCCCCGCCACTTGCAGCTGCTGGATTGGGAGACCAAGCCGTATAGCAGCAGCAATGCCCCACTCCGCTGCAGTGAATGTGAGATCTGAATGAGCCGGAACTGCCGAAACCCATGCACCAGCCCCCGGGCCCTGAAGGGATGTGAAACGGGCTAGGGTGGCATCGTCACGAGCCAAGCGGCGGAGTGCCTGGAGCTCCTCAACAGCCAACTGCCGCTGCCGCGCCTGGAAAAGCCGAAGAGGAGGGGCCGCCACACACAGGGGTAAGTCCGGCAGCTCCTGGCGTATAGTCGCGGGCAACTGCTCAATGGCCTTGGCAAACCACGGGTCAAGAAGCTCCGCCCCCGCCGAAGTGGTGAGGTACTCTGCGAACATCGCCTCCTCGCCCGCCACCCCCAAATGTGCAATATCCCGTGCGGCCTGCGCCCACCCACAAACATAGGAGAGCGGACTCAAAGAGGCCGCCGCCCGGATCCCAAACCCTCCGAGGCGCACAGGGAGATGCAGCTGCATGCGTGCGCGCCTAGACCTGCCGGGATCCTGCTCCCAAGTGCCAGGGGGGAAAAGCTGCTCAAAGCAATCCTCCAGACAGCTGTCCCACTCTCTAAAGGCCTCCACCACCTCCGGCCGCGGCGGCATAGTCCGGGCCAGGTACATCGGCCGTGCTGAAACTGCAATAGCGAGGAGATGCGAGGCCATCTGGGGGTGGTCGAGCAGGGGGAGCCACGGCAATGGCGCCTGCAACTCGCGAAGCCGCTTCCGTAATCGGGCCCCCTCCCAATCCTCCTCCCCAATAGGCACGCCCACCACAATAAGACCCTCCTCCTCCCGCTGCATCCCCAAAGGCAATGCCCGCTCCATATCCCCACCTCCACGCTCCCAAAACCTGCACTTGTGCGCCTGCACTTCCAGCCCCACCCACTCCAACCTCTCTCGCAGCACCCCAAAAGCCTCCAGAATCCTAGCCGCTGGTCCCAGGATGTAGGTATCGTCTGCATAGCTCAAGAAAAGTAGGTCCCTGAACTCTCTAGTCACCGTCCCCAGCACCTGCTGCTGCGTGAAAGCGAAAAGAAAAGGGCCGAGCGGGTCCCCCTGTCGCGATCCTCGTGCCGACTCAAGACTCTGTACGAAAGGGCCCGCTCGGAGGTACAGGTCGCTAGGTGTCCCATAGAAGACACGCAAGAATGGGATCATTCCTGAGAAAGGCGACTCCTTCAGCCCCTCGAACATCGCGTGGCGATGAAACGAATTGAAGGCGTTCGCGACATCTATCTGCAGCGCACACCAGTCGGGGTGAGTGGCCAGCGCTGACCGGAAAGAATGAGTAAGAATCTCCACCCCGGCCCTGGTGCCCACTCCCAGCTGGTTACACGGCAGAAAATAAGAAGCCATCACAGGGCGAAGCGAGATGCAGAGAGCTCGAGCGAGGATACGCGGAAGCACCTCCCCGATCGCCACCGGCCGGACGTCACCGTTGGGTTTGGAAAGCCCGACTAGGTTGGATGCGGCGAGCCAGGGCCGAGCTCGCTCGGGGACCTGTCCCGCCACCCATTGGTTGAACACTTCCAGCAGGTGGGAGAGGCAGGAAGGTTCCGTGAGGAAAGTGTCGCGCAGATGCTCTGTGACCCATCCCGATGGCCCTGCAGCTGAGGCGCGAGCAGCTGTGTGGATAGCTCTAGCCAGAATGTCGGTCGTGAGTGGAGGCCGCTGAGGAGCGTCGACAGTAAACTCACGAACCCACGGTGGTACCTCGCCACTGCTAGCTGGGTGCTTCCCTCGCAGCGACTGCACCATAGCCTCAGACGGTCGAGCCAACTCTCCTGCTGTGAGGCAAGACAAACCACGGCTCCACTCTCCCACTTTACACCGAGATCGGCACCGTGACAGGCGGATGGCCTCCGGGTCCTGGTCAGAGCACGTGTAGGCAAGTGGGCGAACTGCTGGCCGTGCCGCCGCCATGGCAGCGTCGAACAACTCCCGCCACCTCCCCTCCCAGAAGGCCCCCAGCCGCTCTATGATCAGCGCCTTCTGACCTATGCCTGGCTTGGGAGGCACGGCTAGGATGAGGCGCGGAAACGCCAGGAGTAGGAGGGTAGCAGCTTCATCTCCCGGTCGGCTCTTCAGCCGCTTCAAGATGCAACAGAGTGCGTCTAAGACCCCGGACCGGGCCCGCTGCGGGATCCGGCGCACTGTCCTCCCTCCAACCGCCTCCACACAGAAAAATGCCTCCCACTCCCATGACTTAACCCCTGCCCACGCCTCGTCCCCAAATTCCCGCGGCGTCGGTCGCTCCTGTGTGTCGGTCTCCACCAGAGACGGGATCGAGCCAAGTGCCTGCGCGCGTCTCTCCGCCTCAGCCGCCCGGCATACCCTCATGTGGTTCGCAGCGGCCCCTCTCGTGGCGAACGTGTGGAAACACGTGTCACACGGGAAACGGGGGCATGGGGAAGGCGGACTGGGTGGTTCTCCGTCCGCCTCTGACTCCTCCGCAGTCGCCATGGGGGTATCAAACTCCAAAAGTCGGCACCACTCCTCCAACTGCTGTTCCCGGTCGTCCATCGATCCCCCCCCTGCCTGCTGCGTACCCTGGGGTGCCCCGGGCACCCCCGGCTGCCCCCCTGCCTGCTGCTCTCCCTGGGGTGCCCCGGGCGCCCTCGGCTCCCCTCCTGCCTGCTGCACTCCCTGGGGTGCCCCGGGCACCCTCGGCTCCCCTCCTGCCTGCTGCACTCCCTGGGGTGCCCCGGGCACCCTCGGCTCCCCTCCTGCCTGCTGCACTCCCTGGGGTGCCCCGGGCACCCTCGGCTCCCCTCCTGCCTGCTGCACTCCCTGGGGTGCCCCGGGCACCCTCGGCTCCCCTCCTGCCTGCTGCACTCCCTGGGGTGCCCCGGGCACCCTCGGCTCCCCTCCTGCCTGCTGCACTCCCTGGGGTGCCCCGGGCACCCTCGGCTCCCCTCCTGCCTGCTGCGCTCCCTGGGGTGCTCCGGGCGCTCTATGGGGTCCCCCTGTCACCCCCGGCTGCCCCCCTGGCTGCTGCACTCCCCGGGGTGCCCTAGTCCTCTCCGCCCGACCACCGGTCTGCCACCCTCCCTGGGTTGCCTCTGTCGCCTCCGGCACCTCCCCGGCCTGCAGCACCCCCTGAGGCGCCCTTGTCGACCCCTGCTGACCCCCTGGCTGCTGCTCGCCCTGGGATGCTCCTTGCAACTTGGCTGCGTGTCGTCTCCCTCTTCGGCCCCGAGCTCGCGACCTTTTCGCTTGGCCTGCGCCGCCCGGGCTAGCGACCCCCTGCTGAACCCGCGCCTGTTGCTCTTGCAACCCACTGATCGGCTCTTCAAGTTGCATGCTTCTACGCTCTTGGGGCCGGTTCCTTTCTCGACACCCTTGCTGCTCCCCTTCTTGCGGCTGAGACTGATTCTCCGTTTGACACCCCTCCTGTACGCTTCCCTGCCGCTCTCCCCCCCCCTCCTCCTGTGCCTCCTCCATCTCCACCTCCAACACCTGCGGCCACTCAGCTTGCAGCCCAAGCTGTCTCTCGACCTGCTGCTCCGTTACCATTCCTATCTCTATCTCCATGTCCACTTCCGACTCCTGCTCCCCCCCAGCCTGCGGGTCTTCCTTCCCCTCTGCCGGCAGCTCTTGCTGCCTCGTTGCCTGCGGCTCCTGCTGCCCTCCAGCCTGCAGCTCTTGCTGCCTTTCAGTCGGCAGCTCCTGTTGCCCCCCCATCTCCATCACCATCACCGCCTCCGAAGCCTGCTGCCCCTCGACCTGCCGGTCCTGATCCCCCCCAGCCTGCGACTCCTGCTGCCCCCCAGCCGGCCCCTCTTGCTGCCTCCCAGCCCGCAGCTCCTGCCGCCTCCAGGTCGGCCCCTCTTGCTGCCCTCCAGCCTGCAGCTCTTGCTGCCTTCCAGCCGGCAGCTGCTGCTGCCCCCCCATCTCCATCTCCGCCTCCAAAGCCTGCTGCCCCTTTGTCTGCGGCTCCTGCTCCTTCCCAACCTGCGGGTCCCATTCAACCCCAGCCTCCAGCTCCTGCTGCCTCCCAGCCTGCAGCTCCTGCTGCCCCCCATCCTGCAGCTTTTGCTGCCTTCCAATAGGCAGCTCCCATTGCCTCCCCATCTCCATCTCCAACTCCAACGTCTGCTCCCCCTCAGCCTGCAGGTCCCGCTCCCCCCCAGTCTGCGGGTCCTGCTCCCCCCCAGTCTGCGGGTCCTGCTCCCCCCCAACCTGCGGCTCCTGCTCCCCCCCAGCCTGCGGCTCCTGCTGCCCCCGGGCTTGCGGGCCTCGCCGCGCTCCTTCCCCTTGACCCCGCGGAACTCCTGATTTGCGCCTCCGTTCCTGTCTTCGGGCTAATCGGGGACCACATGTCGTTGAGTTGTCGCATTTAGTGAGTGCCGGGCGTGCTAAAGGGGTGTTAAGTTCTCGCCGACGCTTGTCATGCGACTCCTGTAGACGCTGGCGATGTGCCTCCCAAGCTGCCATCGCCGCGTCGGAGGTGTTGCCTTGCCTGTGCTCTCCATTGCCACTTTCGACCACTTCTCTAGTGGCCACGCCTAGGTCGGTATCGAGGCGTTGCCTCTTGGTCAGATTGTCGTGGAGGCACCTAGTGACTTTGTCGCACATGCCGCGGACGAGTGGTCCCTCCTGCTGCTCCGTAGGCTCTCTCCCCCTCTTGTGCCCGGCTATTGGGCAGGTCGCCTTTGAAGTCATCGTTGTCATTCGTTCCTCCGTGCTTCCGGTGGCCCATTTCGCCTTGCCGTCACGTCCTCCTCCCTCCCGGACCCCGGCATCCCCGGGGTCCGGGCTGTCTTCCATGGTTCCGCTGTGACGTCACGTGTCTCGATGTCGGGGCGTGGATCCCGCACCTGGGCAGCCGGTCTCAATGTGGGGGCGCTGATTTGCAGCGCCGGATCTGAGGCTCGTCCTAAACGGCGATTTCGCTGGCTGGCGCGCTGCAGAGCGTCCTAAGCGGCGATTTCGCTGGCTGGCGCGCTGCAGAGCGACCTAAGCGGCGATTTCGCTGGCTGGCGCGCTGCAGAGCGACCTAAGCGGCGATTTCGCTGGCTGGCGCGCTGCAGAGCGTCCTAGGCGGCGATTTCGCTGGCTGGCGCGCTGCAGAGCGTCCTAAGCGGCGATTTCGCTGGCTGGCGCGCTGCAGAGCGACCTAAGCGGCGATTTCGCTGGCTGGCGCGCTGCAGAGCGTCCTAGGCGGCGATTTCGCTGGCTGGCGCGCTGCAGAGCGTCCTAAGCGGCGATTTCGCTGGCTGGCGCGCTGCAGAGCGACCTAAGCGGCGATTTCGCTGGCTGGCGCGCTGCAGAGCGACCTAAGCGGCGATTTCGCTGGCTGGCGCGCTGCAGAGCGTCCTAAGCGGCGATTTCGCTGGCTGGCGCGCTGCAGAGCGACCTAAGCGGCGATTTCGCTGGCTGGCGCGCTGCAGAGCGACCTAAGCGGCGATTTCGCTGGCTGGCGCGCTGCAGAGCGTCCTAGGCGGCGATTTCGCTGGCTGGCGCGCTGCAGAGCGTCCTAAGCGGCGATTTCGCTGGCTGGCGCGCTGCAGAGCGACCTAAGCGGCGATTTCGCTGGCTGGCGCGCTGCAGAGCGTCCTAGGCGGCGATTTCGCTGGCTGGCGCGCTGCAGAGCGTCCTAAGCGGCGATTTCGCTGGCTGGCGCGCTGCAGAGCGACCTAAGCGGCGATTTCGCTGGCTGGCGCGCTGCAGGACTCCCGTGGTTGTTAGGGCCCAGTTCGGCAGGCATTATGGCCATTATCGCCATTATGGGCCATTTTAACGGGCCCCCAAAAAATGGCCCCAAGAAACAGACTGTAGCTGCAGTGAAACTTCGGAAAACAATGGCCCGATTGTTCGATTGGCATTAAATGGGCCGAAATTAATGGAGCCATTGGAAATGACAGGGAGTGTGATTGCCCCGAATCAATGATCCCCCGCATGGTGCGGGACTTCGAGGTGCGGCGGATGAGAAAATGGACAGTTTGCCTGAGAAAAAGGGTTCGAGGAAGGTTCCTCTTGTGAAAAACGCCAGCGTCAAAAGGGGTGTTCGGCTGGCATCCCATTATTGTCTGGTTCGGTGTTGATCCGCTTATATCGAGCCTAGATAACCTTTCGCGCGCTTATCAAGAAAGGTTCCAGGGTGGTCGTTTTACTGTAGCCCGTACGGGGGAACCATTTTTTAATGCCTGCCGAACAGGGCCTAGGTCTTGTGATTGTCAGGTATTGTCATTGTTAGGATGAAGCGCGAGTCTGGTTGTTCAGTCCTTGAATAATGTAGTTGTCACTCCTTGTGGTGTGGGATTTTTTTGACAAAGCCAAAGACCTATACGTTTAATCCTTGTTCTTGTCCTATTTATTCTGGTCCGTCTCAGCTTTACATTTTATTCCGCTCGAAATGTCGTCACAGCCTCACACGCGAGCGGCTAAGCCGAGCGGCGTCGCTCTCGGGAGTCGCGCACGAGAGCCTAAAGTCAGTCGCGGACGTCGCATGCGACATCAAGATGCAGAGGATCCCGGTTCTCCGTCATTCTACGCCACTCGTTCACTCGGAAGCAGACCCATGCTTTCCACCACCCAATGCTGCTCCATCCTCGTTATCATCATCTTCGCTTTCGTTTCCGGCGCGGTCATTGTCCTCCAGTTAACGGAACATCGCAGCATGTCTTCCGCACTCGCGAAGCTCCAGCAAACTGGAACCGGCATTGGAAACCACGCGTTGATCGCGCTGAAGCTTCGCCTTCCGGGGAAGAAAGTGGGGAGCTTAACGGCGGATACGCACCACCATGTGAAGCATCTGTTTGAACAGCGATTCCTGTACTATGGGGATATGATCGACTCCACAACTTCCGACTGCGGTAGCGTCAACGAACAGGTACTTGAATTGAAAGAAATAATTGCATCTGTCTTGCAACGAGATTTCCGTAGTACGGCTGTATCAGCAATCTTTTGCATCTTCGCATTTGATCTGCATTCCTCCTGACCCGTCTCATTTGAACTGCATTATTTCCCGGACTCCCCGCATTCGATATAAATTTGCGTTCTTGCGTCGTCTTCATTTTACCCTTCTCGCTCTTCGCTCTTTTCAACCCTCGTCTCTCCTCCCACTTGGCATGCTGCGCAAGTCGCAAATTGCTTCTTTCCTCTTACTTTCGTGTTGATCACAATCGCAACTTATCACCCACGACTCACGCGATTGTCTAGATCGTTTGCCTACTTACTCTCCGTGCATTCGCGGTTCTCATGCTGCACATGATCCGGCAATCCGCCTTCCGTTTTCACAAGAACCAACGGCTCGTACCACGAGTACCGTGACTGATTGACTTGCTCTTATCGCTTGCCATCGTCCCCTCGTGTGCAGCTTTCCAGCCTGCGGTGTGCGATGGAGGAGGCTATTCTCACCAACAGGTACGGATTTGATCAGCAGTTATACATAACAAACGGGGGGTTGAGAGGAAGGCGGGAAGGGGGAAAGTGGAAGGGGAGGGGGGGCCATGTTATGGGGTTGTGAGGCTTCGGAGTGACTTGCGAGTTGGGCCAGAAGTCAGCATGGTAGCTTGCGGTGTGCAATGAAGTGGCTCTTCTCACCAACAGGTACGGAGCTGACTAACAGGTACTGTGCTGACTAACAGGTACGAAGCTGACTAACAGGTACCGTGCTGAGCGACAGATAGGGTGCTGACCGGCAGGTACGGTGCTGACTGACAGCTATGTTGCTAAGCTAGACCGAGTGAAGCCGAGCCAGACAAACTTAGACAGAGTTAAGCCGAGTTCGACAGGCCGAAACAGCGCAAGATTCAGCAGTAGCAGTTAGAAAATTGAATGTAGGAAACCTGAAGGCATCAAGCTAAGGGATGAGATAAAGCTTTTGGAATAATGAGGCCAAACAGAAGCGAACAACAATGCATTTTGCAGGTGTATGCACTTTCAGAGGAGTCTACGCTGTAAGTGTAAAGAATTTGATGTCCAAAGTGTAATGCGTGATGTACCTCATAAACATGTACAATGAAGCTGGTCGCAGCCTACAGTAGATGCGGTAGGTTCTTGTTTCGTTTTTAGTATGGGGCAATAAATAATTTCAGTGCTTGAGTGAAGCTATGAGGACATTTTATATTACAATTTACAATTGCACAAATGAACACATTGCCTTGCATGCATTGTTTTGGTTCTTGACAAGCAGCATGCGCAACGCAGGGAGCAGTTGAAGGCATGCAATCATAATATTCTGTCGTCTACTCAACCATTCTCACATCATTCTGATCCCCATTGCTCTCCACTAGATACCTTATCCTGACGGGTGCTATATTCCTCTCACTCCATGCCTCTTACCCGCATTCCCATGGTGTCAATCCCGGTGTCATCTTGATGCCACTGGTGGTGTCAATCTCGGTGTCATCTTGGTGTCGACCAGAACGTTCGTGCTGCCTCACCACATCTGCATCCGCCCTGCATTCAACATTGATGCTGCCAGGATGTGAGCGCCTCCTTGCTTCCTTCCTTCCTTCCTTTCTTCTCCTCCTTCCTTCCTCCCTTCCTTCCTCCCTTCCTTCCTCCCTTCCTCCCTTCCTTCCTTCCTTCCTTCCTTCCTTCCTTCCTTCCTTCCTTCCTTCCTTCCTTCCTTCCTTCCTTCCTTCCTTCCTTCCTTCCTTCCTTCCTTCCTTCCTTCCTTCCTTCCTTCCTTCCTTCCTTCCTTCCTTCCTTCCTTCCTTCCTTCCTTCCTTCCTTCCTTCCTTCCTTCCTTCCTTCCTTCCTTCCTTCCTTCCTTCCTTCCTTCCTTCCTTCCTTCCTTCCTTCCTTCCTTCCTTCCTTCCTTCCTTCCTTCCTTCCTTCCTTCCTTCCTTCCTTCCTTCCTTCCTTCCTTCCTTCCTTCCTTCCTTCCTTCCTTCCTTCCTTCCTTCCTTCCTTCCTTCCTTCCTTCCTTCCTTCCTTCCTTCCTTCCTTCCTTCCTTCCTTCCTTCCTTCCTTCCTTCCTTCCTTCCTTCCTTCCTTCCTTCCTTCCTTCCTTCCTTCCTTCCTTCCTTCCTTCCTTCCTTCCTTCCTTCCTTGCTTGCTTCCTTCCTTCCTTCCTTCCTTCCTTCCTTCCTTCCTTCCTTCCTTCCTTCCTTCCTTCCTTCCTTCCTTCCTTCCTTCCTTCCTTCCTTCCTTCCTTCCTTCCTTCCTCCCTCCCTCCCTCCCTCCCTCCCTCCCTTCCTTCTTTCCTTCCTTCCTTCCCTCCTTCCTTCCTCCCTCCCTCCCTCCCTCCCTCCCTCCCTCCCTCCCTCCCTCCCTCCCTCCCTCCCTCCCTCCCTCCCTCCCTCCCTCCCTCCCTCCCTCCCTCCCTCCCTCCCTCCCTCCCTCCCTCCTTCCTTCCTTCCTTCCTTCCTTCCTTCCTCCCTCCCTTCCTTCCTTCCTCCCTTCCTTCCTTCCATGCAATGCACTCCCCTTTAGAGGCGCCTCTAAACTCGCCACATCTGCATCCGCCCAGCTTTCAACATCGACGCTGCCAGGATGTGAGCGCCTCCTTCCTTCCTGCACTGCATTCCGCCCCATTGTTTTCCTGTCATGGACTCCTCCCTCCATTCACATCACACACACACACGCCTTATCGATGCCTCTCCCACCGATTCATGCTTCTCACATCCTTGGTAATGCATGTTTCCCACCTCCCATGCTCCCATACTGTCCTCAAACCCCTTCCACCTCTTCCACCCTCCTTCCCAACCTCTCACCCCCCTTCCCTCGCCCCAATCTATCTGTCATCCCATCCCATCCCGTCCCGTCCCGTTGCGTCCCCTCCCCTCCCCACCTCTTCCTCCTCCAGTAAGCCTATTCTCATGTGCAGCATTCCCCCTGTCACTTCGTTCAGCATACCCTCGCCTCAAGAGGACTTTTTTTCCTCAAAGCCTCTCTGCACACCCCCTAAATTGATTGCTCTCGCCCCCTGATTCCTTGCTTTCGCCTCCTGACTCCCCGCCTCCCTGCCACAGAGTGAACACATCTCAAACGGAGATGCTTTTAGAGGATCTCTTTGATCCCAAAGCATGGCGCAGAGACATACCATGCCCATGTGACGCCTCCCACTCCCCTCACCCCATCTCTCCCTGCATCACTCCATCAGAGTGAACACATCCCAAACGGAGATGCTTCTAGAGGATCTCTTCGACCTTAAAGCCATCGCCAAAGCTTTGCCTAAGGGCCTCGTCTTTGCTGACTCTGACGACTGGAAACAGACTCTCGCCGTCGCCCAGGACGCGCAAACCCTGGCGGACGCACGGAAGAAAATGTCTGCTGGGAAGGAGGGAGGGGAGGGTGGGGGAGCGGGTGGGGGAGGGGGAGCGGAGGAGGAGGAGGAGGACGAGACGCCGGCGCAGTATTTGGTGGTGGAGGATGGGAGTGTGAGTTGGAGGGAGCTTCGGGACGTGCCTGATTATGCCGAGGCTAAGATTGTGCATCGGAAGGATGACCGACCCTGGTGAGTGTGTGGTTAAGAGCGTTGGGGGATTGTGAATAGGAACGCAGAGCTTGAGGTGTTGTGTTGGTGGGCGGATGGGGGAGTGGGGATGGTTGAAGCAGTGATGTTTAAAGGAGGAGAGAGAATCGTCATTAAAGGGGCTGACTTTTGAGTCGACTCAAAAGTCAGGAGGAGAGAAAATCGTCATTAGAGGGATGGTAGGGAGGGTTGTTGTGACGGGGGAAATTGTTTCACTTGGAACATACAGCTTTTTACTTCTCTTTTCTCTCACTTTCTTCCCCCTACCTCCCCCCACTTTCTCTCCTCCTTCTCACCCCAACATGCACGCACACACACTGTCACACACCCACACCGACGTTAACAAACTCACTCACTCACTCACTCACTCACCCACTGTCTCACTGTGGCAGGAGGAGGGCGTGTGAAACGCGGTTCAACGGCACAGCAGTGATCTACCATGGCCCGCCCTTTGCCAAATACATCCGCGACCTAGCCATGCAGGTGGGCTGACCTGTGGGTGGGTGGTGAGGCGCTACCATGCAGGTGGGTGGGTGGTGAGGCCTTGCTTCTCTGGTGGGTAGGTGGGTGAAGCACCTCAGTAACCGGGTTCAACGGCACTGCAGTAATCTACCATGGCCCGCCCTTTGCCAAATACATCTGCGACCTCGCCATGCAGGTGCGTGGGTGATGAGACCTCATCATTCAGGTGAACTGAGTTGCGGTCTGGAAAGGGGTTTCCCTTCCCTGTCAAGCTGGTGGGTGGTTGATGCAAGTGTGAAGCAGGGCGGTTTTGTATTCCTGCACATCACCGCCGCAACACAGTTTTGAGACGTCTCAACAAAGACATCATAAGTGAACATCCTCTTCTTTCTTGCTCCCCACCAGTTATCAAAGACACTGGGTCATTTTGGTTTCCTGCTCCTGCGCCGACACAACACGGACATCATGCAAAACCCCCCTCTTTTCTTCCACCCATCCCACCCCATGTTCCTGCCCTCTTCACCTGGCCATCAGCTATCTGAGAAGCTGGGCCATTTCGTTTTCCTGCATGTGCGCCGGCACAACACGGACATCATGCGGGACGATGCCTCGTACCTGCGCTGCCGGCACCTCGACCGCGACACACGTGTCCCTGCCATCCGGAGACACGTCATGTGAACGCAGTCGTTCACTTCCTCCGTTAAACTCCCCAAACCCCCACTCTCCCCCCCCCCCCCTCCTTTCCCGCTCTCGTGTTACTGCGTGCTTCTCCTCCCAATACAGCTATCTGAGAAGCTGGGCCACTTCGTTTTCCTGCACGTGCGCCGGCACAACACGGACATCATGCGGGACGACGCCTCTTACCTGCGCTGCCGGCGCCTTGACTGTGTGAACCCAGCCTACCCTCTCCCTCTCTCCCCCCCTCCCCACCACCAGCTATCTGAGAAGCTGGGCCATTTTGTCTTTCTGCACGTGCGCCGGCACAACACGGACATCATGAGGGACGACGCCTCTTACCTGCGCTGTCGGCACCTCGACCGTGACACACGTGTGCCAGCTATCCGGAGACACATCTGGCGCCTTATACCTGAAAACAGCACTCTCTATATTGCCACAGACGAAGTCAACCAGGGGTTCTTCTCAGGCCTCAAGCAGTGGTGAGTCTACTAGGGGTCCAGGTGCTTCATACAGGCAGATGTCTTGAAAACAGCACTTTCTACATCGCTACTTTCAACCAGAGGTTCGTCTCGGCCCCCAGGCAGTGGTGAGTTTACTTGGAGGGTTGCGAGTTCTTGAGCTGTTGTCAGAGGGTTTTTACCCAACTCGTAAGGCTTTGAGCAATGGTGAGCCTACTTGTATTTTCTGGTGCTTGTATTTTATGGTGTTTTCTAGCCCATCACTAAAATCCCAAATCCTGTTCCCAACCGTATACCAGGTATGACATTCGCCTTGCTCGGAGCTTTGACCATATCCTCAAAGGCAAGGTCACCAACAACTACCAGGTGTTTGCCATTGAGAAGCACCTCTCCAAGTTTGCATCCTTCTTTGTAGCCACGTTCTGTGATGAGGCTGACTCCTATGGTTGGCTTGGCCTCCATGCTTTCTACTGCCTATGCCAAGACTACCAGGAAGGTAGACGCGCGCAAACAATCAAGGACACGTCAGCTGGGTGATTAGCAACTACGTAGAATCCGGCCAAACTAGAATAAGGTACACATTTTTCTACCTGCCTGTTATGGATTTGTAAGCTGTGCAACTAATACAGTAAATCATTCGGTACTGCCCAGGTTCACTGTTTCTGGCATTCCGGCAGGATAAGGTCAAACTGTGAGGTGAAGAGTGGTGGTTGGTGCACATGTGCGGCAAGCATTCGTTTGAGGTTGCGGCAAAGCCCACCAGGAGGTTCGGGAGATATTCGCCTATTTGGCACATGCGGATTCGTCCATCTGATCCCACGTCATCAACATGTTGGAGATCATTCATTTGGCCAAAGGGCGCCGCCTTCGACGTTCGCGTCCCTTCGTATAAATCAGCAGCCTCTAAGCATTGATTGGCTGACAAATGTTTGCAGCTCCTTCAGGCTCGGCATCGAGCGCGAGCCTAGGCGAGAAAAGGCGAGGCGGGTGAGGCCAAGGGTGCATGAGCCAAGGTGTGGATGAAAACGAATCTTTTGTTCGGGTGTGATCGTCGCGGGGCATCATTCCAAGGGACACTGGGCCAACAACCTCACTCTCATCGCACAAAACTTGACGAAAGTCGTTAGGTACACCATCGCTCCATCCTAACCGTACGTATTTTAATCCGACGACGGTTGGTGCGCCGTCATTTCGTCGCCGCTGTACGATGCCTCTCGGCTCGATCCACAGCAATCGTTGTTCCGCCTCCCCCTGCACCAGGGATGTCAGGTTGTACATTTCTCCCACACGGTATCGTAACTCAAGACGGTACCACACGGTACAAAACGGTTTGCCAGGCTTACCGTTTTGCACCTTGACGAAACGGAGTTGACCGCAGTGAGCGTCCAGAATGTTGTACAACCCGACCTCGCCCTAAACTCAAATTCCTCGATTCTTCCATTCCATCTCTTTCCTCTTCCCTTTCCTCTTCCTGCTGATTTCAGCACAGCAGAGCACCAGCACAGCACAGAACGGCAGCAAGCCAGTCCCTGTCAGGAAGGCCAAAAGCACGTCTAGCGCGCGTGACTCCACCACGAAGCTTTCCCTGACTACACTGGTTGAACGTGCTGTGCGCTGAAGTGCTGTGCTGCGCAGCCTTGCGATCCCTACTGTTACGACTCGAAAATGGCGGGCGCGGTTCAAGGTGCTGCCGTATTCGGTGCAACATCTAGCCTTCCTTCGCATGTTCACCGCTCTTCCTCTTGCAAACCGACTGCTCTACCAAAATCATTTCAAACTCCAGACTTCCCTCGCCTGATCAAGCTCTCACAGCAACATTACCACCAACAGCAGCACCACCGGTCGTCGATCTCCTGCCGAGCCACCGTCTCTCAGGACCCGGCAACCCTCTCCTCAACACGGGACGCCGTTAACGGTAACGTTAACGTCAATGCGGAAACCGACGCCGTCCCGTCGTCTCCCCTCAGCTACGACTCACCGCCTGCCGCTCAAACCGGCAACGGCGCGTCCCCGGAGTTCCCGCAACCCGTGTCTGGGTTGTCGTTTTCCGAGCGCAAATTCGGACCGTTGGCGGAGGTGCCTCCGGAGGAATACGATTTGGCGGTGGCGGAGCGCGCGGTGCAGCTGTCTTGCCGGCTGACGCAGCGCGTGCAGGACCAGCTGCGACGCGCGGAAGACGTCGCGCGGTCGAAGAAGGACAAGTCGTTCGTCACCGTCGCAGGTGCGTGCGACGACTGACGAGTGGACAACTTTGAGAAGTAAAACAAGCGTGACAGTCTCCCTTATGCCGAATGCTCGGGTGCGCGAGTACGGAGTGCACGAGTTGGGAAGTACGTGAGTGTGAGCGTGAGTGTATAAACAGCGTGTCAGTCTCCATTGTGATTTGTTCTGTCGAAGTCTGTTGGTGAGAACAACGAAACGAACTTATAGGGCAGGACTATTGCAGAAGCGTTTGGCGGGTGTCGTGTCAAAATCTTCGTTAGAATCACTGTCAATCTCCGTTACAGCCACTGTCAGTCTCCGGTGCAGTCATTGTCACCGTCTCCGTTATAGTCACACACAAAAATCAGCTGCGACGGATAGTCAGTGACTCTGTCAACGCCGTCCGTCAACTTACTTCCTTCAATCCCCTGCCTCCAGTCCGTTCCCAACAGTGACATTATGACACTGGAAGCGCTCCACTCCCTATCTCCTCCCTCCACTCCCTATCCCCTCCCTGCCCTCCACTCCGGGCGTTATCAAGTTATCATTCTCGCTCCCCTCTTCGCTCCCCCACCCCCACCGCTCCCCTCTCCGCTCCCCCACCCTCACCGCTCCCCCACTCCCACCTCTCCCCTCTCCGCTCCGTTCTCGTACTCCCCTCCTCGTCCTACCAGACTGGGGAGTGCAGGCGGTGGTGAGCTGGGTGCTCAAGCAGGCGTACTCGGATGAGCCCATCTCCATGGTGGCGGAGGAAGACACCAAGGAGCTCACCGGCCACGCGGGCGTTGCAGTCCCACTCCCCTCTCCGTCCCCTTTTCCCCCCTCCGCCCCCCCTTTTCCCCCCCTCCCCTGCGCGCCAGACTGGGGAGTGCAAGCGGTCGTGAGCTGGGTGCTCAAACAGGCGTACCCCGACGAGACCATCTCCATGGTGGCGGAGGAAGACACCAAGGAGCTAACCGGCCAGGCCGCCTGCTCTCCTCACCCCTCACCCCTCTTCCACCCCTTTTCCTACTCCCTCCCGTCGCTCCCCTCCTCGAGCCAGACTGGGGAGTGCAGGCGGTGGTGAGCTGGGTGCTGAAGCAAGCCTACCCCGACGAGCCAATCTCCATGGTGGCGGAGGAAGACACCAAGGAGCTCACTGGCCAGGCGGGCGTGGCCGTGCTGCAGCGCCTCGTGCAAACCGTCAACGAGTGCCTCGCGGAAGCCGCCCTAGTCGGGATCCCCCCGCCCGAAGCGCCGCTCACGGCGGTGCAGGTGCTGCAGGCGATCAGCCGCGGGGGGTCGGAGGGGGGCGCGGAGGGGCGGCACTGGGTGTTGGATCCCGTAGACGGGACGTTAGGGTTTGTGCGGGATGATCAATACGCGGTCGCGCTCGCGCTGCTGCAGGACGGGCAGCTGAAAGTCGGCGCGCTGGGCTGCCCGAATTTTCCGGTCAGGTCGGGGTGGCTCCGGCACCCGCACCGGTTCCACCGGCTGACCGCGAAATATTTCCCGCCGACCAAGTGGCATAAGGGGTTTGTGCTGAAGGCGCAGAGGGAGGGTGGTGCGTGGATGGAGTCGCTGGTGGAGATTGGGAGGGATGGAGGGGCGTTGAGAGCGGTTCCAGTGCCGGTTAGGGTTTCGCCTGTGCGGGATGCAGCGCTGGCGACGTTTTGCGAGCCGGTGGAGAAGGCAAACTCGAACCAATCGTTCACTGCTGAGCTGGCAGACACGCTCGGCATCAGGTGAGGCTCGGAATGGGGGACGTTGAGGCTGGTGGGGAAGGGAGGAAGTGGGGAAGGAGAGGAAGGGGAGGGAGGGGAGGAGTAGGGGGGTTGGTTCTGGTGTGTCATGAACGATCGCATTCAAGGACATTAAACAACTAGAAGGGCATTAAGCAAAAAGAAGTGCAAGTGTGCTTGGCTCTTTGGTGATTGTAAGTTGAATGCAGCCTTCTTATCTTTCAGGGGAGTAGAAAAGAAACAAAAACAAATTTGCCATCGAACCTGTTCCCCTTCCCCCCCATCCTCCCCCCCTCCCCTCCTTCCCCCTTTTTCCTCCTCCCTTCCCTGTTTTTCCCCTCCTCCCTTTGTCTTCCCACCTCCCCCATGTCCCTGCCCCCCCACACCCCCGGACCTGGCTTGCCCAAACAGCACGGAGCCTCTCTGCATGCACAGTTTGGAAAATATGCTGCCATTGTGCTGGGCAGCATGGGCGTCTCATGTAGCGAAACAATGGTGTGACTTAATTCACCAGTTCATTGTCCCCCCTTTCCCCAAGAACCCTTCCTACTTTCCCTCCTCCCCCTTTCCTGTTTTCCCCTCCTGTCACTAATTCCCCACTCCCCGTCTCCCCCTCCCTCCCCAACCTGGCAGCAATGAGCCTCTGCGAGTGTACAGCATGGCCAAGTATGCTGCCATTGCACGGGGCGACGCTGAGATCTTCATGAAGTTTGCGCGCGGCAGCTACAAGGAGAAGATCTGGGACCATGCAGCAGGCGTGATTATAGTGGAGGAGGCGGGCGGCGTGGTGACCGATGCGGGCGGCAACCCCTTGGATTTTAGCAAGGGGAGGTTTCTGCTGGGGCTGGACAGAGGGATCATGGCGACCAATGGCCCGGAGATGCATGAGCAGCTGCTGAGCACTGTAGATGCCAGTTGGAGTGCTTCCCGCCTGTAACTTTTCTCATGCGGTAACACACAAGGTGTGTTGCAGAGATAGGCCTGCTAATTTGCTTACTACGGTATGTGTGGGTGATTTGTGTCCTGCCTCTGCCAAGTCTTGTTGGGTTAGCTGAAGGTGTGCTCCGCAAGCTTGTTTTCAGGAAGGTATACTGAACTGTAAAGCAATCTTATGTATCTCCCGGTCGGCTCTTCTGATGGGGAGATGCTGGAGAACCACAATCTTGAGGTAAATATTTGTACTTCGTGCAGAGATAATTTGAGAAGGTGGCACCGTGGTATATTATATTCTGGTTTCAACTTATGCATTCAAACGTATTGCGGTTCTCTTAGGTGTGCTGCCTTTCAGAGCGGTATGCCTAGATCAGTGCAACTTCCAGAACACACAGCCCTACCAAACAAGTTCGAATTCGCGCGAGCGGCGTTTAGGCTGCTGGCCAGGGTGATGTTTCCTGCCTTCAGGTTGTTAGGCTGAAAGGGGAGATTTTAACCTGACCGAGCAGTAGCGATTCGTCAGGTCATTCCCAAGCCACGCAAGCTACAAGCCTCCACGAACCTTTGCGACTCTATTTCGCGCTCCAATTGGTTCCTTCGAGGCCAAAGCACCTTCGTGGCTATTGTGCGAACAAATCGAGCCTAGGAAAGCAGTTGTGGCGATGGCGAATGTCGCAATCGTCGCCTTACGAAAGCGAAAACCAAACCTCCACCCAAGGCGGCAACAGGGGAACCCCTTGGCCGCGCCAACAACCGAAGCGCTTGAAGAAAGCACGCGAAACGGGCTCCGCGGTGCGCACAAGTGTTCCGCGCATGTCTCTTCTCTGTATCTCGCGGAAGGCAAATCCCCTGATCATATCGAGCTCAGCCACGTCACCACCTCCTCTCGCAGCATGACAGCCGTTGACGTTTGTCGTACCTCCTCACCGAGAATTAGCCTTGTTGCCGAACCCCTTCCCAGACCAGTTAGGCTCTCATCTGACCGTCCATGCATAACTTCCCCCATCGCCTCCCACTGTCCGATTGAGAATTATGGCCACGATCAGTATCTCCGCGTTCCACTCGTCCCTATCGGACCGTCCACCACAAACGCAGAACACCCCGCGAGACGAACCTAGGCGGAATTCCTATGCCAACGACCCATCCGAGCCAGCCAACCACCAGCACACCATGCCCCAGACCAAACAGCCTGCCCGGATCTCCCAAACCAGCTTGAGTTGGTTGGGTTGATGGTGTCTGGGACCATCCAACCAGGGAGATGAGAGGGTGGTGGGGGGTTTGGATGTGCACGTCTGGCATCCCCATCCATCCATCTAATTCCGCTCAGGCTGGGGGACGAAACGGGGGCTCGAGGACTTGGGGTTCCCAGAGATTGGTTGGGACTCGGGGGCACACCGCGGGCGGGGAGGAAGGGGGGGAAGCTCTGGCACTTGCGCGAGGGAGGGGAGAGGGGCTTCCGCAGTTAGGAGGATTCGGGAACACGGTGACTGGGAAATTGAGGGAACTCTCGGCGCGGGGACCGGGGAAATGGGGGAACTGTGGGGAGTCTCGGGATTGCTCCACAGCGCATCCCCCCCATCCCATCCCTCGGTTCCTCCATCCACCCGACTCCAGCCCAGCCCGGCTCCACTTGAAAAACCCCAACGAGTCGACTCGACTTCTCACAAAGCGACTCCGAACGCCAACAGCGGCTCGCTTGAGAGAAACGCTCCTCCAACCCCCTCCCACTCTCCCTGCCTGCCTTGGCCTCTCTAGGGAAGACCCTTGGCTCCCAGCGGACCCACCGACCCGCGTTATCCGCTGCTTGTTTCGACTCCAGAAATTAGCCGGCGCCTCTAATTTGTATGTTTTAATTTGTTTATTGATCGCCATGGCGGCTGGCTGTGTTAGGGATCTATTTATTGTGACTTGTGGAGCTTTGGCCTTCGAGACCTGAGACCTAGATCTTTGCTAGTTGAAGCATTTGGTGTGCTTTTCTGTTTGCTGGTCAGCCCCTCTTTTTTTCCAGGAATGATTTCGCCTGAACATCGTTCATTTTGACCCCTTTTTTTCCCTTTCTCTGCAGGTTCTTCGATCGCGGTTTTGTCGCAGATCTTGGTGTTTCCGTTTCTTCTAGAATTATTTCAATTTAAGGAGTCGCCATCATGTCGGCTCCTGACCAACAAGGGCAAGCGGAGGAGTATGCAGGCAATCCCATCCCGATGACGCCGCATCAGATGGCGTTGCTTCTTGAAGAGATTGCCAAGCTCGACACGGAGAGATTAATTCTTGAACCCGGCGTCATGCTAGCCGATACGGGCACTGTACTTAATCTTAAGTAAGGCTCTATCCTCGTCGTGGACTTCTTCGGCTTACTTTTTTTCCTGCACTAGGCCTGCCCGCCTGATGCCAACATGCCGGCTAGTACGAGAAAGTTAAATTTCTGTTATGTTTCAGTTCCTGGTTTGTCCTTCTAGTCTAATCGATTGATCGCTATGTCAGATCTTGTTCCTTTCAGCCATTTTTTTTCAGCGTCTCACTTCCGTCGTCCCTAACCTGTATGAGCTCATCGCCTTCCTACGCGTATGTTTGTGCTTTTTCTGTCCCGTTGCAGTCTGATTCGACAAAAGGCCCTCAGTCCCGCCTACACGCTACCAGAAATGCTAATGGATTTAAATTCCATCTGCGAGCCTTTTCTGAACCAGAGCCCGAGCCACGCGCAATACGCCAAAGGCTTTCTCGAAAACGCAAACGAGGCAATTGTTATCGCGGTCAGAGACGCGCAGGTAAGTTCGGCCGGCTATCCGGCTGATGGAACCGTTCCCGTCGCGAACGGGGATCCAAATCAACAGCAAGGTCACGTGCAATATGCGCAGCCGGGACAAGATCCACAGCAGCAGTATCAGCAGCAGCCCCAATATCAGCAGCAACCGCCGCAGTACCAGCAACAACCGCAGCAATACCAGCAGCAGCAGCCACAGCAACCGCAGTACCAGCAGCAGTATCAGCAACAACCGATGCCGCCTCAACAGCAGCAGTACCAGCAGCAACCGCCGCCGCCGCAGCAACAGCAACAGTACGTGCAGCAGGACGGCAGCATGTACGCTCCACCAAACGGAATGGTAAACCAGCAGAACGGACAGGGAATGAACGGGACGGCCGGCAACTCTTGGGTGATGCAAGTCGTTGGAGAAGACGGTAACGGTCAGATGCAGCCGGGCGGCGTGATGCACAATCAGCACCAGCAGCAGCAGATGCCACATCAGCATCAACAGCAAGCGGGTTACCACCACCAGCAAAACGGCATGGTGCAGCAAGGGGGGCAGATGGTGGGGTACCAGCAGCAGCACCCGCAGCACCAGCACCAGCCGCCACACCACGGGGGTATGCCTGGCGGTCCCCCTATGGCTAACGGTCTCGGCGGAATGCCCGAAGCAGTAGGCGACTCGTCTTTCGTTGGTAAGAAACGCCAGCGGATGGATAAACCCGGCGGCCCGGGCGCGCCGCCGATGAAGGCCGCGTCGGGCGCGCCTCGGTCGCGCGTGGAAGGGCGGCGATGCGAGGTGTGCGCGGTGATTAAAAAGGCCGGGTGCGGCACGGAAAACGCGCACTTTCGGTGCCTGAAGCGGAAGCTTCCGGAAGGCGCACAGGAGCTAGAGCGGAGAGTGGGAGAGCTGGTAGATGTGGGGAAGGAGGAGCGAGTGACGGTGTGGAATCCCAAGGAGGGGAGGAAGCTAAGCGGTCAGGCCGCTCCTATGCTGAAGAACCTGGTTGGGTGGCTGGCGAGTCATCCTGGATGGGAGGCGCATCCTCGAGGGTCTAGCCCTGTTGCAAGGTTAGATTCTTCTGCTGCTTCTGTTGCTGGTGCCCCTTTTGTTGCATCGTGCGCTGTTGTTTCCAATGTTGCTTGAGCGTGTCAGCTTTGCTTATTTGGCCTGTCTGTGTTAGTTTGAAAGTTTTGTTACGTCGAGTCAGTTCTGTGAAGATAAGCAGAATTTACTACTTTGTAATATTATCTCATCTGAGAGCTTCAAACAGTGCATTGTCAGCCAGCCTTCCCATTCACCTGCCCACCTTTGCCCCCATCACTGCACTTGACCTGTATTTTCCCTCCGCTCGGCCTCACATCAGCTCTCTAATTCCTCTGTTTCATCCGTTCTCCTCTCTCCCTCCCTCTATATCTCATCATAACAGGAAGGTTACAAACAACGGATCATCAGGCCCTCCTGCCCAAGCTCCCCCAGCTGGGCATCACCTCGCCCCTGCTCCTGCTCCTCCTGCTTCCGTGCCTGTGCACGTGCCCATGCCTGTGCCTGTTTCCCAACAAGACCCCATCCCGTCGCGAACATGAGCCTGGGACCATCTCACTTTGATTTAGAAGCGCTTGGAGGCGGTTCTGAGGGATCTAATTGTTTCATTCGTGAAGGTGCAACTCGATGAGACGACGGGGTACGTTGGAAGATTACGGTCACTAATGTGCCGTTTTATCGCAGTCGTCACAGCAGCTGCTGATTGCTCCCAGAGGGTTGTGGCGTGGAATGGACTCATCACATGAGTGCATGTAGGGGAACTCTGGATGGGTAGAATGCGGTGGGTTACGGTGAAGTACTGTAACAGCTGGATGGGAAGGTTTTGTTGAATTAGCCTGGTTCAAAGGGTTGAGGTGGGGGTTGAGTTGGGTCTGGTTGGGGATTGACTCATGCAGTAGGTGGGATGTTGCCTGCCTGGCATGGCTCTGTGTCTGTAGTTATGTGCACATGGCTGTTGTTACATGTTGTAACTGATGTTACACCTGGGAAGCTGCTATGTATGTTTCAGCCAATGTGGTTGGCTAATTAATGTGATGCCATGTTGTCTGACACTTACTGTACATCACTTCATTGGCTTCAAATAAACAAAATGGCATCATCCATAATCAGCAAAAGACCAGTACTGGGGTAAAAACCTGTTTGTGTTGTCACACTTAAGAATTATAAACATACAGTAAAAGCAAATCGTTCAATAAAGTACGGCAATAAGATCAAAAGTCCTCATCGTTGGATGTAGGCAGGGTGACTGGCACGGCCCATCTGCCGAGATGAGCAGTGTAGTTGATACACCTCACCACACCCTGCCCCACCACTCCTGCTGCTATTCCTGCTGCGCTGTCCCCCTTATTGTCAGACTCGTTATTGTCCTTGGGCTCACCAACACCATCAGGGAAATCGACAACGGTGATGCTCCCAGGGTCGAGGCGGAAGCTTCCCAGAGCATCGTGAGGAAGCTTCAGGCAGGACGCAAGCATTGCTTGGAACACTGTTTCATGCCCCACCACAATAACAGTCTCAGATCGCTCAATAGGGGGGCTTCCTGGCCCTGCTTCTTTTGCAGCTGCCACATCAGCACCTGTACTTGCTGATGTGGCACGCTCCACTTCTGCCAGGTGGCGGCGAATGACAGTCCATGCCTTCTCAGCGCGGTTCCACAGGGACGGCAGAGATTCTCCGTTGGGCGGCGGGGAAGATTTGATTTGATCCTCCCAGCGCTCGTGTGCTGATACCTCTGCCATCATTGCTCCCTGGAAAGAGTGAGTGGTGCAAATGGGATCGTAGGGACGATGAGTTGTGAGGCGGAAAACTGAATTACGAGTTCAAATATGAAGCAGGCCCATAGAGAAGAGTGAGAGATGGTGACAAACTATCCAACAATCCCACTGCAGGTTGATTTTGAGCTTACCTCGTACTCAGCTTACCTCTCTTGTCTGCTGAGCTTTTAAAAATCCCAAGCTCAAACCCCCCACCTGCCATGTGCCGTACTCCAGCTCTCTCTACTCCTCCACAGGGACAACATGTACTAACCGCGGCAAACAATCTGGTTTTTGAGAATTCTCAAAAACCTGCCCAGGCACTCCGCTGCCTCCTGCACCTCCACCACCGCCTCGGCCATGCACCATGCGCTCAGCCTTTGAACCGACTCAACAGTGCCCCACAGCACAGCACAGCACAGCACAGCACGGCACGGCACGGCACGGCACGGCACGGCACGGCACGGCACGGCACGGCACAGCACAGCACAGCACAGCACAGCACAGCACAGCACAGCACAGAGTGGGGGAGCAGCAAGAAGCAGGCAGGCATGGTGCTCAGCTCACCTGCCACGTGCCGTACTCCAACTCTCTGAGTTCTTCCACATTCACCACCTCCACAAACCACGGCACACAGTCGGCGCCCAGGCACTCCGCCGCCTCCTGCACCTCCACCACCGCCTCTGCCGTGCGCACAGCCTTTGAACCGACCCAACAGTGCACCCACCCCCATCTCACCTGCCATGTGCCGTACTCCAACTCCCTCAGCTCCTCCACATTCACCACCTCGACAAACCGAGGCACACAATCAGTGCCCGGCACTCCGCTGCCTCCTGCACCTCCACCACCACCGCCTCTGCCTACCTGCCACCCCACCCACCCCCAGCTCACCTGCCATGTGCCGTACTCCAACTCTCTGAGCTCCTCCACTGATACCACTTCCACAAACCGTGGCACACAATCAGCGCCCAGGCATTCTGCCGCCTCCTGCACCTCCACCACCGCCTCTGCCGTGCGCACAGCGCGGGGCAGCGGCGAGCTGAAGACCGTGTCGACGCGCACGTCGAGCAAAAGCTCGGCGGTCTTGCGCGCCTGCACCACGCCCAACATGCTCAGCTGCTCAAATGGAGATTGGGGGAATCGCCGTTGTGCCGAGCTGTTTGTGTCCCCGTGGCACACCAGGATGACTCGTGCCTTGGCCTTCCTTCCGCCTGACGCCCCTGACAGTACAGGCGGGGCTGGGGTCTGGAGGCGGAGCAGGGGGGAGCAGTGGATGGGGGCGGGAGGAAATTGGAGGTGAGGGAGGCGGTGCGCTGAAGGCTGCAAACACGCAGGAGAAAGCTCAGCTGTCTTGCGCGCCTGCCTGCACCACGCCCAGCATGCTCAGCTGCTCAAACGGCGACTGGGGGAAGCGGCGCTGCGCTGAGCTGTTTGTGTCCCCGTGGCACACCAGAATCACACGAGCCTTGGCTTTTCTCCCGCCTGACGTGCCGGCCAGAACGGGTGGGGCGGGCGTCTGGAGGATGGGGGAAGCGGGGAAGAGGGAAGGGGGAACAGGGAGGGTGGGGAAGCGCCGTTGTGCCGAGCTGTTGGTGTCTCTGTGGCACACCAGGATGACACGAGCCTTGGCCTTTCGACCGCCTGGAGCCCCTGACAGAATGGGTGGGGCTGGGGTCTGGGGGGGAAGCGGGGGGGAGCAGGGGATGGGGGCGGGAGGAAAGGGGAGGTGAGGAAAGCGGTGAGCTGAGCAGAAGAGTGCAAATACCCAGCAGAAGCTCGGCGGTCTTGCGCTCCTGCACCACGCCCAGCATGCTCAGCTGCTCGAATGCGGGAAGCGCCACAGTCGCCGTTGTGCCGAACTGTTGGTGTCCCCGTGGCACACCAGAATCACCCTCGCCTTGGCCTTCCGTCCGCCTGACGCCCCCGACAGAATGGGTGGGGCGGGCGTCTGGAGGGGCGGGCGTCTGGAGGGGCGGGCGTCTGGACAGAATGAGGGGGGACGAGGGGAATGGGGAAGGAGGAAGAAACGGAAGAGAAGGTGGGGGAGCGATGGTATCCAAGTCTGGGTTTTTGTGCGCGCCTGCACCCCACCTAGCATGCGCAGACGTTCCGGGCGGCACCGATGGAAGAGCCATTAAGGAAGAGCTGTAACGACCTTATTATATGTACCAAACACAAGAATAAGTCCAGAACTTATGGCTGGTAAGATAGACACGGGGACACACCTGGTTGAGTCTGTTGAGGCACACATAGGGCAGCAAGTACTCCTCTCAATCCACCACGCCTGCTTCTGTGAGCCTCTTGGTTCTTTCTCATCTGCTTCTCACCCTCCTGCTGGCACACACCTGGTTGAGACGGTTGAGACACACATAGGGCAGCAGATACTCCTCTCCCTCCACGCCTCCTTCTGAAGAAGCAGCATCCAACAGCACGGCACCAGCGTCGCTGTGAGCGTGACTGTAGTCGTGCGCCTTGTATGGAGGCACGGCTTTGTCAGGAGTGTGAGTGTGGGCGTGGGGCTTGTAGTGCGGGACAAAGTCCAGCACGCTGACACCGCAGTTGCTCTGCAGCAAGAGGCGGAAATACTCCGGACCCAGGCCTGGGGAGGGTGGGTGCATGGGAAGGAGAGAGTGAAAAGGCTACTGGAGCGCTTCAGAAAACGTCGCATCACGAATGGCTTGTAATGCGGGACAAAGTCCAGCACGCTGACACCGCAGCTGCTCTGCAGCAAGAGGAGGAAATACTCCGGACCCAGGCCTGGGGGAGGCAGGGGAGGGGAAAAAGGTAGAAGGCACTTTCTTACATGCCTGCCTATAAAAGAAGTCCAGCATGCTGACACCGCAGTTGCTCTGCAGCAAGAGGCGGACATACTCCGGCAGATTCAGGCATTCACCCACATTTTATGCACATTCAGGCACATTCAGTAACATTCAGGCACATTCAGTAACATTCAGGCACATTCAGTAACATTCAGGCACATTCAGTAACATTCAGGCACATTACATTCAGTAACATTCAGGCACATTGATGCGCATTCACGCATAGGCACATTCAGGCACATTCAGGCACATTCAGTAACATTCAGGCACATTCAGTAACATTCAGGCACATTCAGTAACATTCAGGCACATTCAGGCACATTCAGTAACATTCAGGCACATTATTCAGTAACATTCAGGCACATTGATGCGCATTCACGCATAGGCACATTCAGGCACATTCAATGACATTCAGGCACATTCAGGCACATTGACGTCACATTCATGCACATTCACGCACATCCAGGCTCCTCAAATCGGAGTCTTGAGGCACCTCGGAGCCCACCTGATGCGGTGGCCACTAGCGCCTGGTTGACAACGTTGTGCGCCACCACCAGCACCGACCGCCCCCCCTGCACTCCCATGCCCTCTCATGCCCCCATGCGCACTCACACACACATGCACGCACGTGTGCGCACTCACACACACATGCACGCACGTGTGCGCACTCACACACACATGCACGCACGTGTGCGCACACACACACCCCACCTGTTGCGGTGGCCGGCCACTAGAGCCTGGCTGACAGCATTGTGCGCCACCACCAGCACGGACCACCCCTCACTCCTCAGGAAGGCCTGCCAGCACGCCGCTGCTCACTCACACACATGCACCCATCCACCCATCCACACAGACACACACCCCCACCTGTTGCAGTTGCTACGAGAGCCTGGTTGACAGCATTGTGTGCCACCACCAGCACCGACCGCCCTTCGCTGCGCAGGATCTCCTGCCAGCACGCCGCAGCGCGCGCCCACAGCTCCCTCACGGGGTAGTGCCCGTCAATCTCAAAGTTTGCTGCGTCCTTCTGCCACATGCGGTAATTTTCACCAAACCGCGCCTTCCCCTCCTCCTTGAATAGCCCCTGTGGTTCATTGGGATGGAGTGGGGTGCGCAGAGGTGCAGAACGGTGGTTTGATTTGGGGGGATCTTGCTGCGCGCTCCCACAGCTCCCTCACGGGGTAGTGCCCGTCAATCTCAAAGTTCGCTGCGTCCTTCTGCCACATATAATAATTTTCACCGAAACGTGCTTTCCCCTCATCCTTGAACAGTCCCTGAGGTTGAGTGAGGTAGGGTAGGGGGTAGGGTGGGGAGGGGCGCGCAATGGGTGTGCATGTGTGTAAGGAATCGCGTCTGGATATTCCTACAAACGGTGATCTTTTTCTCATAAAGAACTCTACATGTAGTGGATACAGGACAGTCAGTCAGTCTTATCGAGCCTACCTGAAACGAGTACAGGTCGATCTCCCTCAGATCATGCAGCGGGATCATGGGTGCCGTGCGCGCCGCCCAAATAACCTCCGCTGTCCGCGCTGACCGCTGCAACGGGCTGCCCAGAAACAATGAGAAGAGAGGCAGGAGAGTAAAGGAAAAGGGGAAGGAGGAGAAGACGAGGCTTGAGGCCGTGAAAGGAAAACAGAGCATATGAGGAATTATTGATGTGCGGAAGCGGATGTCAAAGCGAGAATGGGGCTAGTAGCCCGCGAAAGCAAGCAACGTGGGGTTAGTCAGCTGTGGAAGCACACATCAAACGAGTCCGCCGCGAGCACGGGGCTAGTAACCCGTGGAATTAAGAAAGCAAGGGGCTAGTCACCTGTGGAAGCACACATCAAACGAGTCCGCGGCGAGCATCTGCCGGCTCGTCTCCGCTTGGCTCTCGCCCTTCGCGGTCAGCACGGAAAAATCCGAGCTGCCCTGAATTCTGCCCGTCGCGTTCCACGTGCTCTCCCCGTGTCGCACCAGCACCACGCGCTTCGCCTCCTTAATCACTGGAAACTCGAACCCTCCCAGGTTCGGCGCGCTCTGCGACGCCGAGCTAGCATCTCGAACCTCCGTCGCAGGCTCAGAAACCGTAGACGCTGTCGCAGTCGCCGCTACATTGGCGCCCGAGCCTAACGCCCCCGAAGCTGCGGACGAGGCTAGACAAATTCCGCTGCGTTGTGGGTTTGGAACCGAACCAGACAGCGGTTTTCTCGGGCCGGCGAAAAGTGTGGTCGTAGTCGCCCGACCAGCGGCGAAAGTCGTGCGACTGAATGCGACGGACGACGCTCGCGACGGGGAAAGTAGACGCGAAGTAACGAGGAGCGCGCTGCGCGAGTGGGATGCGACTCCGGATACCGTCGATGACGCTACAGGCGACGGGAGAATGGCGGCCTTCAGGCGCAGCAATGTTGCCATTGCGCGAGACGCGATGGAGAGATACCTCTAGTGAAGCACCGAATTCGTGTGATTGAATCGCAGAACCGTGCGAAAGGCAACCTGCGCGGGCCGTTCGGTTAGCCTCGGCTGCTGCGGGAATGAAACGCTGGCTGTACCTATCACCTAATCCTGCTGCGGGTGGCAGGCAGCGTAAGAGTGGCAGACGCGCTTCGGGTTCTGCCGCACCTTATCCTACTACCGCGTCCGTGTTAGGTGGCGCCACTGGTTGGCCATTCGAGACCATGATGAGGGCAGAATGAATGGAAGTCGTCGCTCTATAGCGGGTACACCTTGCTGGAGTCCCTTGGTGGTAAAGCTTGTTCACAACAATTTGTGCGTCAAGTTTGGTAATTAGGTTATTAAACATTCAGGTACATATTAAATCTTGGCAATGCACACCAGAACTTTTGTCATACCAGCATACACATTGTACATCTCATAATAGCACAAGAAGTGCCAGACAAATTAGTAGCCTTGCTGAAAATGCACACCGTAAGGCCAAACGATCGGCTATAATACACGGTGACGCAGCTGATTAGTCACTTCTATCCGGATCCTGTAAATGTCAAATTGGCACACCATGGGCAGAACGGCTTCCAAAATTGCCCCCTCATTTCCCCACTCGGCTTGCTGCTCGACGTAAATAACGCATAATACTCCCAAGGTTTTTTCGTCATCGCGTTTATTGCAGTCTCCATGTCTTGTCCATTGGCGACCGTAATCGAAGCTGCATTTGTGATGAACGTGTGTATAATCACCTCGTCCTCGTCAGGGTCTATCGACCACCAAGAGCCAGGGACCTCCATTACAAGCGGCCCCGTTTGCCCGTATTGTGCGTTACGAATCTCCACTTTCCGCACATTAGGTAAGCATTTGCTGTTCACATAGAATTTCACGTATGAGACATTCTCGGGGGTCCTGGGGAAGGGAAGGGACAAAAGGAATAGCCGCAGAGTAGAGGAGGCAAAAAAGTGTATTACTGGATTGGGGGAGTGGCAGGGTAGTGGCATAGCGGAATCTTTGTAAATTAAAACGTGTGCTCATCTATAGGGAGGGCAAAACAAGTGAGGAGCTGGAGATGGCATACTGGGAGAGAGAGAGAGAGTGAGAGAGAGAGAGTGAGAGAGAGAGAGAGAGAGAGAGAGAGAGAGAGAGAGAGAGAGAGAGAGAGAGAGAGAGAGAGAGAGAGAGAGAGCAAAAAATGGTTAGGGAGGGGCAATGGATGGTGGGTTGGGAAGGGGAGTGGCTTTGGAGGGATGATGAACAGGGCAGAAATGAATCACTTACGTGTATTTGATGATTCGCACGGTTCCATAAGGCTCGTAACACACATCGTCATCATCACTATCATCCCTGCTGTCCCCATCCCGTTCATTATGATCCTGGATCTGGTACTGGCTCGCGCTCACTTTAGTCACACTCGCATCCGGCGCTATAAAGAGCGCCTCACTCGTCCCACCCAATGCCTTTGAAACCCTCGGCTGCCTAAAAAACGCGAGAATGGCTTTAAGCTTCCCTCTGGCTGCAGCGCTGGCTGTGTTATTGCTGCTGAGCCATTGAATGCTGTTCCGAATGCTGCTGAGGCTGTATCCGATAAACCGGTTGCCTTGGAACGATCGAAAAAAATTGGAAGTTGTATATGGTGTTACTGTAGGTGTGCTGGATACTGTAGGTGTGCTGGATACTGTAGTTCTTGAGGAGAGTGATGAGGAATGCAGCAGAGGACGCGAGCTGCTGGTCCGAAAGTAGGTGTAGGCGGAGGGGGAGGACGACGAGGAGGAGGAGGGGGAAGAAGAGGGGGAGGAGGAGGTGGGGAAGGAGGGGTGGAAGGAGGAAGAGGTGTAGGTGTAGGAGGAGGAGGAGGAGGAGGAGGAGGAGGAGGAGGAGGAGGAGGAGGAGGAGGAGGAGGAGGAGGAGAGGAGGAGGAGGAGGAGGAGGAGGAGAGGAGGAGGGACGGGAGGTAGCAACTGGAGCAGGCTGGTTAGTGGGGAAGGTGTATTTGGACAGGCTGTTGCTGAGAGCGAGGTTGTATTTGTTAGCCTGGGTGAAGAGCAAGGCTGCAAGGAAGCAAGAAGAGGGGGCACAAGAAGTGGGAGAGGGAGTGAGTGGCGGGATTTAGTGGGGAAGGCGTATTTGGACAGGCTGTTGCTGAGATCGAGGTTGTACCTGTTGGCCTGCGTGAAGAGCAAGGCTGCAGGGAAGGGAGAATAAAGGGCACAAGAAATGGGAGAGGGAATGAGTGACTGGGCTGAGTGGGGGAGGCATATTTGGACAGGCTGTTGCTGAGAGCGAGGTTGTACCTGTTGGCCTGCGTGAAGAGAAGAGCTGGAGGGAAGCGAGAAGAGGGGACGCAGAAAGTGGTAGAGGGTGAAAGTGAGGAGTGAGCGAGTGAGTGTGTGAACAGGTGAGCAAAAGACTCCTTTTATTAAATGGAAAGAGTGAGATGAGAAGAGGAGCTCGGAACACGCTTGCAGAACGCATTTGGACAAGCGTTCATGATGTTTCTTCCAAAAGCGTTCATGGTGTTCCTTCATGGTGGTGGGATGGCTGAGGCAGTGCAAGGCATCAAGGGATGGAACCGCAGCATCTTAGAATAGCGGCAGAACGGGGAGGCGGGAGGGGGAAGGGAAAGGGAGGGGGGGTGACTGAGGTGGGGAGGAGGAGCGACGGGGTAAGCGCAGCAGAGCACTCACAGTCGATCTTCCCGACGGGAATCGAGCCGTTCAAAATGAATTGTATGTACTCCAGAAACGGATCGTAGGGGGTCGACTGAGCGCTCGTGGGAGTGGGGCACGCGAGAGGAGCGGGAAAGATGGGGTAAGCGCAGCAGAGCACTCACAGTCGATCTTCCCGACGGGAATCGAGCCGTTCAAAATGCCTTGTATGTACTCCAAAAACGGATCGTAGGGGGTCGACTGAGCGCTCGTGAGAGTGGGGCACGCGAGGAGAAGCGGGACCAGCAGCGCGAGGAGCAGGCGGGCTGTTGTGGGGTTTGGAAGCGAGAGCGGGAAAGGGGGGAAGGGGGTACGGAAGTTAGTGTTTATGATGGGGGGAAGGAAGGAGGGCAGTTGACGGGGGACGTAGGAGGGAACGACGTTGCAATGAGAGAGCAGGTACGATGGAAGGGATATGGGACCGCCGTTAGATCCGAGGGTTGGGAGAGAGGAACGGAAAGGAGGCGGTGAGAGAAAATGGAGAAAACGAGTTGGGGAGGAGAGCATTCGTTCTTTCGGCTCATAAAAAGCGCGTCGTGAGGCAACTCAGAAGCCGCTCCCTCGGGGCTCGGCGTATATTCTGAGTGGGCTCAAAACTCAAAACACGCCTTGTGAGGCAACTCGCCGGGGTCTCTCCTTCGGGAATCAACCGTCCCTTGCTTGGAACTAAGTCCGTCCCTTGGAAAGCCCCGCTTTGAGACGACGTAGCGCCGCATGTGGCTGACCTGACTGATTGCGCAGCATCACGTGCGACTCGAGTCTAGCAGCTTGCGGCTCGCGGCTTGCGGCTTGCCCAAGCTCGCGCCGCCTGATAAAGGATTTTTATCTATGGTATGAGAAGCGCGATGATGAGACGGCACGTGTTGATTTGACGCGTCGCGGATTTTCCAGTGCAGGCGTGGCGTGGCACCGGCATTGACTGCTAACTAACCCGACCTGGTCAAGGATATCTCTTTGAGAATCATGTTCTTATATCAGCCCGTCTTCAGGCTTAAAAAGAGAGCGCCGCACTGAGCTGGGAGTAGTGCGTTCTTGATAGATGCAGCAGCATATAGTCGACAGGCTAATGAAGGACCGAATTTTCTTGAACGCTGTTCTTGAAGGGTGAGAACAGTTATGGATGGATGGAGCGGTGGGTTGGTGTTGTTGCTGCTGTTGCAGTTGGTGCGCTGGTTTGCTGAGCCCAGCTGTGCACGAGGCGCAAAGCAAGGTAGGTTTGGACAGGGGCAAAGCGAAGGGTGCTTGCAAAATGATACAGTGCTCTGTAATATCATTTCAGAACGGTGCCAAAGCGTTTACATTTGGTACCACCGCAGGTGTGGAAGAAGAGGTGGACAACGGGAGACGATTTGGGCAAGATTGTTTGTGGCGGCCATCGGTGTGGTTCAACGGCTTCGATTGGGTTGGATCTGTGTTCCAGGGCTGGTGTGGTGAGGTGAGGTGACGCTCAGCGCGCTTCGGTTCGCGTCGTGCTTGATTATTGGCAGCACCTCCTGCAAACTGCCCCTTCTGGTTCGGAACCTCGCAAAACGAAAACCTCTCGTGCTTCGGAAATGCGCCACGAAACGAAGGTGAGAGGCATTTTCGGACGACGCCTGCGGCTGGGGAAGACCCAGGGGAATTTCAAGATCTGTGTGGTAGGTTCGGCCAGGGGTAACTGACTGCCACTGGTCGGCTCGGCCAGGAGAATTTTATGACCAAGCTCAAAATTAAAGCTGCCCGGAAGAAGCCAACAACACGTGGGCCTCCTCTCGAGTCGCGCACGAGAACGTGAGAGCTACTGGGTTTAGTTCGGTTCAAAAGTTTCTGTGCTGTATGCTACAGAATCATGATAGTTGGCTTGCACAATCACATTGTTCTTCAGCATAATAGAGCTCAGCGGACGAAAAATGCCGCCCATTTTCGCGGGCCAGAACGGACAACCCCCCTCCTCGGGGTTGTCGACCCCACGACGACCACCGCGTGGAAAGCCCAGGCGAGCTGGCTGGGCCCAGTGCTGGTGACCCCTCGGGATTGTCGACGACCTGTCGACCTTGGGTTCCGCTGAGACAATCCCGAGAAGGTCGTCTCAGCCGCGTGACGTCATCCCAGCTCGGCACGCGGGGCCGCGATGATCGCCACGCGGCCAAAAAAGAGACGTCCGAGATCGACCCCTGGATGGCGGGGCCATCGTGGACAGCCAGGGTGGCCACGACGGGCCAACGGAAGGTGGGGGTGCTTCGCGTGGGAAAACTTCGCGCCCAAGCGTTGCCAGGTCGGTGCGTACCACACGGCCATCATCCAACGGTTGCCCACATGCCCAAGGCGAAATCCGACCGTCCACTACCTCTGCCTAGGTGCAGTGGATACTGGCGGGAATGTCGGCGTCGACCAGAAGGTCTTCATCGTGGTGCCACGCGGCAGTGTCTCCCGCCCTCGAACTACCGCGCTGGGACCACGCCACGTACCGCACCACAGAGCCAGCGTGTAACACCCATGAAAGGCGCATCATGAGCGAAGCGCTTCAAGCATGCACGCCCGGTGGCACGTCGGTCACGGCGCCGCCGCACGAGCGTACATGCATAGCTGCGTCCTGCACAGGGGTTTGCGTGGAGCGCCAAGTGGAGCGGAGTCGCTCACGACCATACCAATCTGGGGTCCAATTGCAGGTCGCTCATTCTGCCTGCCGTTCTCTGTGCTTTTCATCCGTTAGCTGGCACTTAGATTTTTTCCCCGTTCCCTTGACGGCTCGCCCTTAGTTTTTTTTCCATCGGGAGATTGTCGTCAGACGTGGAACGTCGGCGTCGTCAGAATAGTCAGACGTCGGGGCCGCCGTCTCGTAGTGTTGTCTGCGATGCCGACCTGTCAGATACCGCCGACTTAGAATCGCCATGTTTCATTTCACCAACCTCACCACACCGACTTCCCATCGCGAGACCCTAGGTCGCGGTATCATGGCCGGAGCACAGCCTCGCTCGACACCGCCGCAACCGCAGCCACCACCCGCCGACGTCGACATGACGGACGTTCCGAACCCCGCTAGCCAGGGTGAGGATGTCCGCCCGGTAGATCGTACACCGAACAGTAACCCCTCGTCGACGCTGCCCCTGCTTTACGATCTCGACGCCCTGGCCCAAATCCCGAAGGGAGAGTTCACCAAGGACGTTCCACCCGCGCCCATAGGGGAGTTCACGAAACCAAGCAAAGACACGTCGGCACCGACGAATGCAGCGGAGGCCGGGCCGTCGTCGGTGCCGGACGTAGCGGGCGACCAGGGTTTAGGGTACTCCTCGGCGAGCGACGAGGACGACGAAGCCGACGCGCGGCCCCGACGTGGCCCAGGTCCGCGCACGTTGGAAGAAAAGCTCAGGGGGGAACGTGCGTTCATCGAGGAACTTCTGGACGAGGACGAGCTCGAGGATCTGATGAACACGTCGGTCCCTCGAGAACAGTGGAAGGCGGCCGACTTCGTAGAGGAAGATATGGTGTACGCGTGCGTCGACGTGCTCGTGATGGAGGCATTGCGCCACCTGAAAACCATCGAGGCTAAGAGCACGCTCCAGTCCTACATCTCATGGATCTACCACTACAAGAGGTGGGCCGCGAAGATGCTCAAAGAGATAGGCGACAAGCTGCCGATCGGGGAACGAACTAGGCACGTCGACGAGATCGGGCACTGGATCCACTGCAACAAGAGCAAGGATTGGGACAACCCGAAGGTGGTCAAACGGAAGCACATCTGGCTGCACGGCCCCAAGGTCACTCCGACGCGGCTGCGCGCCTACGTCAAGTTCATGAGGCGGGAGTTCAAGATCGACGCCGAGACGAACGCGCCGGTGCCGTCCTACACGGTGCACATGATCCTCGGCCGCATCAAGGCATGCCAGATGGCGGCGAGGGTGGAAGCGACGCTGTACAAGGAGAAGGAGTTGGGCATCATGCGAGAAATCTCGGTTGTCCGGTCGGAGGTGCGGGTCATGGTCCGCACCAAAAACCAGAGGGACAACAAGTAAGTTGGCATCCAGCGCTGTTTTCTAGTCGGTGACGATTTGTTCCCATCGCCCTAATAATCCTACCGCCGTATTGTTCTGTCGACAGTAATTGCGCCGACCGTCGACGCGGCACCATCGGCGACACATACACCGCCGAACAGTTCCGCCAGATCATGACGAGGGTGCTGCCGGCTTGGGCGGCGTCGGCATGGAGCCCGCATTTCACCACTCCCTCGCAGACGCTGTGGAGGTTCCTTCTCGTCAAGGTGCTCACGCTGCTCTCCCACCACAGCCTCATGCGCGGTGCAAGCATCCGCGAGATCACGCTCCCCGACATCTTCTTGTACCGACTGGCGAGCACCTCGTCGGTAAACCCGGATAACCAGCCGGTCGTCATGGTGGTCGCCGCGCGGAACTCGAAGACGTCGAAGGATGCGCGTCTTCAGCAGAGCTACGCCGCGCGGCACCTCGAAGCGGAATTGTGCGCCGTCGGCGAGACCGGACTGTGGCTACACTTCATCCTCGACCAGATCGGCCAGTTTCACGGCGTCGACCTCATTCCGCCGGTCGACACCAGCACACGCGAGCGCTGGTACAAGAAGCACCTGTTCTTCGCCCGCAACGACCCCGAGCAGGGCGAACTCTCCGCTGCCAGCCACCAGCGATGGACGAGGCAGATGTGGAAGACGAACGGGGTGTACTGCAAGCGGAACGTCCATGCCGCTCGGGCAGGCGGGGCGCAGGAGCTGGCCATCAACGGTACGCCTCGCGCCGAGATAGCCGAGCTGGGTCACTGGGCTCTCGACAAGATGACTCGAGCCTACATCACAGCCATTCCCGTCGGCGTGGTGATGAAGAAGGCCGGCTATTCGGGCTACACGCAGGACTACTTCTTGGGGCGCAGCAGGGTGGAACCGTCGGACGAGCTTCTCAAGCTCATCGCCGAGCACATCTTCCCCGGCGTCGACGAGCTCCTTAAGAATGTATGTCGATCGGTACCGACCAAGCATCGCATGGCACTGTACTTTCAACCACGGTAATTACCCACGTCTGTTGTCTAATTGCAGGCGGAAGAACTCGCGAAGAAGGGGTCCGACGCCGACGTTGCTGCCGTGCATTTCTGGCGCACCCTCCAGATGTTCCGCCGCATTGTCGCCGAGGACCTCGCTGTGAAACTCGTCCGCACGCCTTGGCACCCGTACGTCCAGTATTCCAAGCTCTGCCGGATTCCCCTCTTCCAGCACTGGGCGAAGAGGGTGGAGAAGACCGACACCGAGACCATCAAAAAGCGGCAAGACCCAACCCTCATCCAGCCAGAGGTGAGTCATCTTTATGTCGACATCGCCATGAGCACTGTGCCCGATGACAACACCTCACCTGCACCGTTTTTCGCCTACATTGCAGGAGATATCGGTCCGCCATGACGCCCAGTACGCGGTCGTCTCCCTCACAACGACGCTGAAGCTCGAGAGGGAGCGGTCAGCGGTCGAGAAGATCGACCTCGAGGAGAAGCTCGAGCAGCGCGACGCTACCATCGCGTCGATGACGGACGAGATAACCCGCCTCACCGAGGCTCTCCGCGTTTCAGAAGCTCGTAGGATGCCGGAGGCGCCGCCAGCTGCGAACGAACAATCGCCGAGCGACGGTGGCTCCGCGGAGTCGGCAAGCAGGGGTGACGGAGCCAAGAAACCCAAAAAACCCCCACAGACGGTCGAGGAGGCTAGCTACGAGCTGAACGTGGTTCAGCCTTGGCGGAATGCAACGACCGTGAGGGACGCGTGGCGCCTCTGGACCTCGTGCACCAGCGCCGACACCCGTCGTCTGTGCGACAGGTTCTTCGAGCCGGGATTCGTCGACCGCCACACCCTCCTCGACGGAGCCTCGCAGGGAGCACACGGGACGAGGGTGCGCCGCATGATGAAGGTAATCGATGCCGTGCGCCAGCTTCGCAAGAGCGACGGCGAAGCCGACACCGAAGCCGTCGTCGACGCGCTTAACACGATAGCGGCGCCTGGCATTGGGACCTTCTCGGATGCCCTCACGGTGCTCAACGCGGGCAACAAACCGACCTATGCCGGGCAGGGTAAGGGCGTCAAGGGGCTCGGCAAGACGGAATTTGCCAAGCTTCGTCTCGCCAGTGCGCTCGTGGCGCGCGGGTTCAAGCCGGAGAAGTTTGTCGCCGACCTTTTCCCGGACACATGGGAGGAGGGGATGAAGAAGGCGTTGGCCGACCTGGCCCGCGAAAACGACGCCGGGAAGCTGCCTCCGACCAAGCGCAAGAAGACCGCGTGAATGCTCACAAGCAACATGCGATTGTGGGCTGTTGCATGTTGTAGATGATGTTGTTACAGCATGCATGTGTTTCGTACTTATACAGTTGTCGACTTTGAGTTTCTCACAATGCTCATGTGGTAGTTCTAACATAGTTAGTCACGTGTCGGCCTGGTATCCTTCGTGATGTGACAAGATACTGGTTCAAATGTTCATTACACATCCTACATGCACACACACAAGGAAACGCAAAAAACCAGCATCAAAGGGGTCCGACAGCCGAAACACACAAAACGAGATCGACCATAGCAGCATCAAATCCAAGCAACAATGAATCCAAGCTAGCAGTAGGCATAGCGCTACATATGCCCCTCCCCGACTACGCCGACTCCTTCGCCTTCTGGCCCTTCGTCCCCTTCTTCTCCGTGCCGCCCTTGGCCTTCGTCGCCTTCTTGCCCCTCTGACCCTTTCTCCCCCTGTTGTCGATATCGGCCTTCATCTGCGCGTCAATCGGCACCGCGATGCCCCTCGCTTTGAGTTTCGGCCCGGCGACGGGGCACATTCCCCAGAACGCCATCGTCTCGACCGTCGCTCTTGCGATCACGTCGGCATCGACTCCGGCATCCACCCCCGGATAGGCCATGTCAAGGGCGGTCCTCTTGAGTGCTGGCGCGACGTTGTAAGCAACCTCTCCCAGGGGGCGGTCCCTGTTGATCTCGGCGTTCAGCACCGCCTCCATGACTTTGCCGAATACATCGGCGGTCGCCTGGCTCGCTCCGCCCACAAGCGCCGCCGCCTTCCCTTCTTCCACAGCATCCTCCACCTGGGCATCGCCGTTCTCGACGAAGCACCACACAGCGCATGCGGATGCTCCTAACGCCCATGCCGCCATATCCGTCTTCTCGTCGCTGTCTCCCTCCTTTCTCGCCGCTGTCGCAGCGGTCTTCCCATACGCAGCGCACATTGATACGCGGCCAATCAACGCGGACAGCATGGACGCCGACTTCTCTCGGCCTTCCTCGGTGTCGGGATCGACTGGGTACCATATCGCTGGCAGGAGCGCGGCGTGCAGCGCATCGCCAGTGGTCTTGTAATGTCGATACTTGTCGAGGATCTCATTCAGCCTGTCACGCCAGCACAACAAACAGGGCGAACATTAGTGACCACCACAACGACATCGACTTTGGGTAGGAGGATTGCCGACTTACCGTGTCTTTGGAAGGAGCGTTCCCCGGGCCCACATCACCGTCCACATCCCGGTCGGCAAGATCCTGACCTCCTCCCACACCTCCTTCCACCTCTCCAACTCGGCGCTGTCCAGGACGGTGAGCTCGTTCATGAGCACCTTGCTCACGAAACCGTCGTAGACGACGAACGCGATGGAGTGCACGTACGCGAGCTCCATCTTCTCACGCGACTTGCCGATGTATCGATTGATGCCGTGCACCTTAATCTCGCCGACCCATCCTAGCTTGTCGCCCGAGGTATCGTGTCGGATGCCATGACCCCGCCTCTCCTTGCTCTTCCCCCCCTCCTCCTCCTCCTCCTCCACCTCCTCCTCCTCCTCATCGTCCTCATCCGCCTCCTCCACCTCCTCCTCCGCCTCTTCTTCTTCCTCCTGCTCGACGTCCTCCACCTCCTCGACATCCTCCTCCGCCGCCTTCCGCTTTCCCTTTCTCCCTTTCGACGAACCATCGCCGACCGCCTTCTCCTTCCCCTTTCTCCCCGTCGACGCACCTTCTCCTACCGACTTGTCCTTCCCCTTCCTCCCCGTCGACGTACCCTCGCCGAGCGACTTCTGATTCTCCCCCGCTTTCCCTTTCACCCCCGTATTGCCGCCTCCATCCTTGTCAGCCGCCGTCTCAGCCGCCTTCCCCTTCCCTCTATCCGCCGCCTTCGCCTCCGACTTCTCCCGCGTCTTCCTCTGTGAGCCCGCCTTCCCCTTCCGTTTCGCCTTTCCATCGCCGACAGCATCACCGGTCGCAGTCGGCTCTGCTGGACTGCCGACGAGACCCGCCGAAGGCTCCACATGTGCCGTGTCGGAGATGGCCAGCGGTCGGGGATTGGCAGCATCCAGGTGGGCCTGTATGGCAGCGATATCAGCATCGGGGGGCGCCTGCTCGACGGGGCCGCCGCCGGTGGCAAGGGCGGCACGAACGCCCTTCTCCGCCGCCTTCTCAACCTCAGCTGCCACAGGGGTGGGTGGTGCGACTTTTGCCGACGACGTCTTAGCGCCGGAGCCAGAAGCCTGCTGAGTTGGCGCAGTCGACGCTAGTGCGCCCAGCTGGGCGCGCAGCAACGCGGACTTTGGGTCTGCAGGAGCACGGGCGGCGACGACCGGCGACTTTGGGACACTGGCAGATGGGGCGTCGACAGCAGCGGGGGGCTGTTGAACAGCCTTGTGGCCGGCTAGGCGCCTGAGCTGCTCCTTGAGCGCGTCCGCAACTGCCGCCCCTTTCCCCGCGCGGCCAGCCTTGTCGGCAGCCGGGACGTCGGCAGAGCGCGGGACGTCGGCAGGTCGCCCGGCAGACGGTCCGGTCGGAGGGCGTGCACCAGCTGGGGGCTGGTGAGGAACCGCTGACGCCACCGCGACCCCTGTCTTCGGGCCCTGGCCAGCTGGGGCCGTTTTTGCGGCCGCCTTCTCCTTGTCGCGCAGCCCTTCTTCACCGCTACCCTGTCGTGGTGGCTTATCGGCGACCGAAGGCGGAGCCCTTGGCAGTGCGTCATCAGTGGCATGCTCGTCGGCGGGACCCCCACCACCCTGATCAGTGCTGGCCGCTCGAACCCCAGCCCAGTGCTTCTTGAGCATGTCGAGCACGCTCTTCCCCGACTGCTTCCCCGAACTGCCTTCCCCGGCTCCCTTGCTCCCATCGCCGGCGACGCGAGAACCAACCGCTCCCATGGTCTGCCTCGCGCTCGCCGAATCGTCTCCGTCCCCCCCTCCGCCCTCCTTCTCCGGCCTTCTTGCTACCGTCGCCGGCGACGCGAGAACCCCCGCTCCCTTGCTCCGCTTCGTGCTCCCCGCGTCGTCTCCGTCGCCCCCCCCGCCGCCTGCCCCCCTCTTCAGACCCTGCTTCGTGGCCTCCATAGGTTGCGCATGGCCGGCGTCGTTGGCCGACGGCGACGACCCACGCCGAGCTTGGGTCGCCACAGTGCCGACCATCTCGGTCATTATCTTCAAACCGGAGGCGAGGAAAGACTGCTGCGTGACCTCCGTCACCGCCTTCAGCAGATCCTCCTTGAATGAATTCAGGAACTCTTCCGGCAAGGCCTGCGCTGGGGTGGTCGGCGGCGGCGGCTGCACGACGAGGCGGGGAGACACGGCGGCTGCAATGTTGGTCTGCGCGGCGCCGATGTATTTTATGAACGTCTCCTCCAAAGCCTTCCTCGCCTCACCCACCTCACCCGTCACGTGGTCGGCCAATTGGTCCACCGCGGTCGCTCGAGCGACCGCCATTCGTCCGTTGGGGGCGTCAATATCCAGCAGCATCTGCCTCGCTAGCTCGGCAAACCTCTTGCCCGATTCAACTGCGTTCTCCAGGTTGCTGGTGAGGTCCTCGGTGATTGTGGCCGCCATGGTCGACGTGGCCTCTTTGAGGCGCTCCACCGATTTCCGGTCGGTGTCCGCAACCTGGGCGGTCAATGCCGTGAGCTTGTCGAGGATCCCAGCTACCGCCGCCGCCAAGCAGTCGACCCGCCCCGCCTGATCACCGAGCTGCCGTTGCAAGCGTGCATTGTCGGCACGCAATTGTCGGTTCTCCGCACGCAGCTGCTCGACGACGTCCGGCATCGCCTGCCGACCAACTGCGGTGGAACTTGGATGACCGCTCACCGCCTTCTTTTTCCTGGACCGCTCCCCCCCGGCCTTCTCTGCGGTAGCATCGGTATGCATTTCCACGCCCGTCTGCTTCGTCGCCGCGGCGAAATCCCCATCTTCGTCGGCCTCGAGGTCGACAACTTCCTTCCCTTCGCCGACAACGACCATCCCACTCCCCCCGTGAGCCGCCTCCTCGCCGACCTCCTTGCTGGGTTCCGCTGTCGCCCCCTTCCCCTCTCCTTCGATTTCCGCCGATCTCCCACCCGTTTCCGCCGCTCCTTCTGCAACGTTCCCCTCCGCCATTTCCACGTCCACCTCTTCGTCATGCTGCTCCTCTTGCTGCTCGTGGTGCTGCCTCTCGTGCTCCTGCTTCTTCTGCTCCTGCTGCTCCTGCTCCTCCACCGACTCCGACACCGACTCCGACTCCGACTCCGACTCCTCCGAGCCCCCCTCATCCTCACGATCCGCCTCACGACCCTGGACCCCATCATCATCCCCATGAACAACCTCGTCCCGGTGCTTCTCCTCGGTCCCGGCCACCCCATGTCCTGCTGCCGCATCGGCCTCGTCGACGCCGCTACCCGGCTTCCCGACCGAGGTGCCACGCGCATCAGCGACGGCAGGGGCGACACCGCCAGCTTGGGGCGCCGACTGAACCTCCTCGCCGTCGTCGTCACAGACGTCGGCCGCAACTACGTTTCGGCCCGACCGTATGAGCGCGACCTGCTTCTTGATGAAGGCTACCATCTCAGTCCGCAGCCCCTTCAACCCCGCAACAGCGACCTTGTCCATGCTGGTGGCACTGCGACGGAGGGCGCCGGCCAACCGATCCTTCCGCCTCACAGCCCAGAGCAACGCGCTCATTGCTAGCAGGCCGGAGCCCGCGTCCCCGTCCCGGACGGTGTCGGGCACTTTCTGCACACAACACAGGAGAGCGCTGATATGAGCACCGAGATCGGCAGTCGCATCTCGCAAGGACGAACGGCAGTTGCATCGCGCAAGGAATTGACACCAAACGTACGAAACTCACATCTCGAAGGGGTTCGTCGCAGTCGGCGAGCCTCGCATGCACCTCCTCCTCGGACGGCTTCGCCCAGTCCCATTTCCTACCTTCGCGCCGAAGCTCGGCCATTACAGCCGCCCGGAAAAACCTGCAAAGCATGGCACAGACGGTCAGTTAGCACGGTGCACGCTCCGCATTGACAACGCAAGCGGCGTCGACTACACTATTGAGCTCACTCCAGCACGCGTTTCGCCTCTTTGATGTGCCACTCCTTCACAGTCTACGGGTCAGCGTGCCGGATCGAGGTCCTGATCAACTGGCCCGATGCCTTCAACAAGTCGCCGGGGCACAGGATGATAATGACGCTGCAATGTGTTCCCGGAAGCGGTGCGATGCTGCACAGACAATGGACGTCGACATAGATCAGAACACATAATCGACGCAGGTTGCACCACACGCGCGACGACCCCGAACACCCTCACCTCGATATCAGTGGGATAACCGCCACGTCGGCGTCAAAAACCTTCGCGAAGACGGTATGGTCGTTCTGACCCATCGCCGCCCTAAGACGGCCGACTCCTATCGACCACAGCCGCTGGTCCTCCTCCGTTCCGCGCAACCATGCGTGCCTGCACGCATGCATGATCAGGAGGAGTGCGTGAGGATGTGGTCGGGACGCCGGCAGATACTACGGTTGCGGCAACAACGCATCGCCTACGCCAGGGGACGCAAATTCGCATGCACGCGGTGCGACGTTTCGGCACCACGTGTCGATTTCGCAGCGGGTCGCGAAAACCGTGCGCCTTGGTGCGAGAGACCCAGGACTTCGCTCGATTTTCGGCGGGTACGAAATGTCGCATGCATAAAAAATAGCGATGCGAAACGACGGGAGGGCACGTGGCGTCACCGCAACGGGTCGCGAAATCGCCGAGCGTCTCGAAGGGAGCCCCCGAATTTCGCACGGGCCTCGCCTGCCCGTACGGGCAGGCCGCGATGGGTTACTAGGACCTCGCGGGCAGGAGGGACGGGTGGGCTGCCTTCGCGCCGGGGTTACTTTCCCTCGCGCGAGGTCTCGCCAGCTCGCCGCCCCCACCCGGTAACGTGGGTCGCTGTTCACTTCCGGGGGGGGGGTTTGCGGGGCGGCGGTCGTGCGCTCGGCCCAGCCCTGGGCCAGGCTGGCGGGCCCGCACGCGCGTCAGTCGCCCGCCTCGTCGGGCCCCCTTCCGTCGACCCCCCTCGTCGACCCTGGCAATTCGGCTCCGTCGACCGAATTCCGCTGGGATCTTCATTCTGCAATAGAACAAAACCAGAGTCACATCACATTTTATTGCCAATCACTACAGAAAAGATCATCTATAATACAGCACTGAACATATTGCCACCAATGTAGTAGCAAGAAGCAAAACTGTGTCCATCAAAATTTACCCATGACCTTAGGTGAACAAATCATTCACCCTAAAACCCATCCAACCAGGCATCTAACTTTAGGTTCCAGTAAACGTGAAGTTGGCGCACCAAGGGCAAAAGGGCTTCCAGAACTGGCCCCTCATTGCCCCCTTTGGCTTGCTTTTCGTGGTGAAAATAGCATAATAGTTCCACGGCGCCTGGGTCATGGATATAACCGCCTGCTCCAATGTCTGCCCATTCGATACAGTCACGCTGCTCGCATTGGCGATGAAGGTGTGCTTAACCAGCTCGATTTCGTCTTCCTCCCAAAGCCTCCACGAACCCGGGATCTCCATTACAAGCTTCCCCGTTTTCCCGTAAGGCGCGTTGCGGATCTCCACCTTTCTCACATCTGCGAGACACTCGCTCTTGGCTCGGAGGATCACATAGGAGACGTTTTCAGGGGAGCTGCACAAAGGGTAAAAAGGAGGAAAAACTGGATAACATGAGAAACAATGCCCTCGGTGCTAATGTCACAGTACTTAGCTAGTCTCAAGGTATCCTACATAAACTTCAGTGACCACATGGAATCAAGATGACCTGTAAGCAAACATCACTAGATGCTCAGAAACATATGTACTCCTTCATGCGCACTCACGTGTATTTGATGATCCGCACTCGGCCTGTCGGCTCCACGCACTCATCCTCGTCATCGTCCTCATTGTCATCATCGTCACTCTCGATCCGATACTGCCTCCCACCTCGCGGACTCCCATCGCCTTCGCTCCCATCGTCACTTTGCACAGTAACAACCCCGTAACTCTGCGCTGAGTAACCCTGGGTAGAAACCTGACCGTTACTTTGACTCGCGCTCTGATCGCTCGAACCACTCGAACCGCTCAGATCGCTCAGATCGCTCGGATTGCTCGGATCGCTCGGACCACTCGAACCGTTCGGATCACTCGGAGCGCTCGGATTGCTTGGATTGCTCGGACCGCTGGGATTGCTCGGATTGCTCGGACCGCTGGGATTGCCCGAAACCTGAGCAGGCACACCGCTCTGCGCGGCTGCTAGCTGCGTGATTCCCGCGGCTTCTAACGAGACCTTCGCGCCTGGCGAAATGAAGAACGCTGTGCGAATGGTCCCCAGCGCTTTCGCGAGGCTCGGCTGCCTAAGCAGCTTGAGGATCGAGTTCAGCTTCGCGAGATTTGATTTGATCACGGTCGCGTTGGTGCTGAGCCATTGCACGCTCTGCTGAAGGAGGGCGAGAGAGGGCGTCTTGGATTTGGAGGCAGAGCGAATGAGAGACAAGATGAATTGCAAGATAGGGCCTAGGTTGCTGCCGCTGCCGCCGCTGCCCCCGCCGCCGCCGCCGCCTTTGCCGCCGCCACTGCCGCCACCAGTGCCCCCGCCAGTGCCCCCCCCAGTGCCGCCGGTACCGCCGCCCGTGCCGCCAGTGCCCCCAGTGCCGCTCGTATCCCCCGTGGTGCTAAAGGCAGCGGTGCTGCGGAAGGAGGATGCGGAGGAAGCGGAATTGGCGCCGGCTTTATTGCTGAGGTACAGGTTGTATTGATTGGCCTGCGTGAACAAGATGGCTGAAGGGGGGATAGGAAAAGACAGTGCGGGAACACGGTGGGTTGGAAAGTATTAGAAAGGGAGATGTGGGGTGGACGAGGGAAGGTAGATAGCAAGAAAAAAAAAAAAACAAACAAAAAAAAAAAAAAAAAAAAAAAAAACAGAAGTGAAGGCCTCCTGACAGTGGCTAAGGGGCCAAATCACCTATGACTGCGTCAGTTCGCGAGTTCCTGTTTGCGCTTACAGTCAATCTTGCCGAGGGGCGTGGACCCGTTAAGAACGCTCTCGATTTGGTCGAGGAATGAGTCGTACGTCGTCTGCGTGTGTGAATGCGCGGCCAGCGACAAGAGAAGGACGGCCAGGAGGACCGGCCGAGCTAAGCGTGGCGATCCCATGGGGAAGCGACTCAAGAAGCTGGTATGGCTGGGAGTAAAGAGCGTCGGTCGTCTAGTAGTAATGGGAGGAACGCGGCGCGACGCGGAGGCTCGGTGGGGCTGACTCCGAGAAGAAAATGCGATGTGATGGAGCCGAAATGAAAAAGAAAAAGGAAGAAAACCCTTTATAATCGCCAACGACGAAGTCAATTCACGGATTTTAGAATGCATGGAGTTGGAAAAGAACGTACGCGATAAGGTTAAGCTTTTGAGATTGGACCATATTCCTGAGGTTAAACGTACTTAGAACCTCATCATGCTGGTGACGAAGTGTGGGCATAATGTTAGCTGCTATTCGAGATTGCAGTTGACGCCACGCGAATAGTTGAGTCGATGCAAAGTCGCCCCTAAAAATGTAAGTTGGACATCACTACAGTGGTAGTTGAGTCGATGCAAAGTCGCCCCTAAAAATGTAAGTTGGACATCACTACAGTGGTAGTTCTTGGGTGGTGAAAAGCGTGGAGCGAGTGCCGAGGATGAGAGGGGGGACGGAAAGGTCGGTCAACCAGTTTTCGCCTGGGGCAGGCAGTGGCACCTGCATCTTCGCATCGCAAGCAAGTCGGGAGAGGGACTACAGCGAATAGGGGCGGACATGTGACTGTAATGCTGGGCGACACGGTCCGAGGGGCTCGAAGCCGCAGCCCCCCAATTGCAAGTGTAACCGCCACCATCTCCAGGCATGAAATGCGAAACAATGAAATGAAGAGTTGGCTGGATGGGCCAATGAGGGGTGCCCAGGTGTGAGAGTGCTTTGTTCACATTTCGGCAAGATACACTATTTTGTGAGATGTGGTAGCGCACAGCAGTTGTGTGACATGCTGTTCAGTGATATGGTATGGACGCCTTCGATTGGATAACAAGCCCCTTTTTGTTCGGCATGCTGAGGTGGCAGAGTGAACGAAGCATTTTGAACTCAGTCGAACATTCGAGAATCCAGTTGATGTCAAGTGCCTGCCAAGCACTCCCTCCTCTCCCCCTCTCCCTCACCCCCCCACCTCCTCCCCGAGTTCGTCGAGGCAAGCTGTGTGCGGACTTGATCCCGAGGCGCAAGACGGCGGGAAGGCTGGCTGGGCGTGGTTCACAAAGTGGTGATATGTGGTGGAGAATGGTCTAAAGACACGGAGATTATCATTTCTCCTTATTTCTATCTGTCTACAAATTATTCCCATTAACAAATCGCTAAACATCGAGGACCTACACAACCCTAACAAATATGATCTGATGCCCAAATCTGCACAGCACTAACGGTAGCCACCAAGACAGTGGCCACTTCTCCCTACCAGCTAAACTGACGTGAAAATACTCACATCGCACAGCAAGCCAAGCCTTCTCAACTCACCATAGTGGATTCTACAATACACATGGTTGTCTCTCCATCTTGGGCACTACGTCCCTGTGAACGTGAAGTTCGCACACCAAGGGCAAAAGGGCTTCCACAGTTGACCCCTAATCGCCCCATTCTTCTTGGCTCCTGTGGTGAAGATAGCGTAGTAGTTCCATGGCGCCTGGGTCATGGTAATCACCGCCTTCTCCAAAGTCTGCCCGTTCGCAACGATCACGCTGCTCGCATTAGCGATTAAGGTGTGCTTAACCAGCTCGGTTTGAATTGGATCCACAAGCGTCCACGAACCAGGCATCTCCAATACAAGCTTCCCCGTTTTCCCATACACAGCATTGCGGATTTGCACCTTGCGCACATCGGGCAAGCACTTGCTTATGGCTCGGAGCAGCACGTAAGAAATATTCTGGGGGGAGCTGCACGGATGATGGGTTCAATAGATGGGCATGAAAAATCAATGATCCGGATAAAGGGAAACAGGGAAATTTCTGGAGTGTATAACGTATATATCCTATCACCCATGCAACTATTGACGCAACCGTTGGAAATAGTTTCATGTGCACTCACGTGTATTTGATGATTCGCACTCTTCCAACTGGTTCGACGCAAATCGGCTCGTCGTCGTCCTCCTCCTCGTCCTCGTGGCATTCGATTCGATACTGTCGCCCGCCATGTCTCTCCTCGTCATCCTCCAGCACCCCAACCGTGCCGGAATCCATCGCATAACTCTCACTGTAACTCATCGCATAACTCTGCCCGGAAACTTGCGCCGGTGTTGGAACAGTGCTCGGCACATTATCTTGCGCAGCAGTAAGGTTTGTAACTCCCGCCGCTTCCAGCGTAACATTCGCATCCGAGGGTATAAAAAAAGCGGATTGTTTTTTTCCCAGAGCCTTATCGAGGCTGGGTTGACCCAGCAGCTTCAGTAACATGTTTAGCTTAGCACGGTTAGATTTGCTGCCTGCCGCGCTGCTGCTGAGCCATTTCACGCCGTTTTGGTAGGTAGACAGCGGAGGACCAATTGGAAACCCCGATGTTGTCGCGCTGGTGGTGGTGCGGACGCCTAAGAAACTACCAAAGAAACGCGAGACCAAGCCGACGCTGCTGCCGCTACTGCCGCTGCCACTGCCGCCGTTATTGCCGTCGATACTGCCGCTGCTACTGCCGACGCCAGGGTCCGTCGCAGAGGAGCCGCGAATGGAGTTACTGCGGAAGGGCGACCTGTGGGAGGCGGATTTGGCGCGGGCTTTATTGCTGGTAGCCAGGTTGTACTGATTGGCCTGCGTGAACAGCATGGCTGCGGGGCGGAACGGGTGGGAAAGAAAGAGAAGCGGAAAGAGGGAGTAGGTGGGAGTGCGTGTGGGGGGGAGAAGGTGGGGGGGAAGGGTGGGGGGAAGGAGGGTGAGGGGGTGGGAGGGTGGGTGTGGCGGGAGGAGGGGGTGTAAGGAATGAAGCGGGGGCGATAAAGCGGAGAGCACAGGGGCCGGGGGAATACATCATACAGGAGCATGCCGTTGAAAGACAAACATGACGTGGAAATGGTGCGTTGCCCGGTCGGATACCGGCACGTACAGTCAATCTTGCGTGTGACGAGTCTATTTTTGCGTCGACTCAGATATGGACTCATCACAGGTGAGTTGCTTCATTGAATACCAGCACGTACAGTCAATCTTGCCGAGGGGCTTGGACCCGTTAAGAACGCTCTCGATATTGTCCAGAAACTCGTCGTAGGTAATCTGCGTGGAATGCGCGGCCATCGACAAGAGGAGGATGGCCAGGAGGACCGGCCGAGCTGACACGTGGCACATTGGGTCGATGGAAAGCGAGGGAGGGGGGGGGGAAATGTTAGCACACGCGAAAAGAGGGAGGATATTCCAGGGAAAAAACGGATGCGACGTGGCGCGGGAGCAGCATGACATGGCCAGAAACAGTATTCTCGCACTTCGAGCGACAGAATGAACGCTCACCCGGCCGTGGAAGCTCCATCAGTAGGAGAGGAGATACCAAGTCAGATGTAAACCAAAGCAGGAGGTTTCTGATAATCTAGTCTAACGAACGGAATTGATTGCTTCTAAAACACAGGGAGTAGCTCAGGCCGACATCTTGACGGAAAAGGAAGGGTTATGAAGCTCGGAGGCTACGACATGTAAGCGTATCTTTCTAGTCCAGCTTGGATGCAGATCCTTGGGAAACTAATTTCGAACCCTAGCAATTACTCGCTGCCAACTGTTCACTCGCATCAGCTCAGCCGCCAAGCCAGAGAAAACATGGAGGTCAATTTGCGGCTGTGGTTTGCTTCTGCTCGGTTTGGTTTGGTTTAGTTCGGTTCGGCCTGAAATCTGACCTTGGGACCCCGTGTTTGGTTGGGGGCTTCCCAGAGGGGACCATTTGGTCTGAGCTCGGGTGAATCCACATCTGCAGGTCACTCACCTCACCACCAGAGCGGGAGGCCCGGCCAGGCCTGTCGAAGTTTCTGGGGCTCGTACTTGCGCTCCCCAGCTCCTCCCCATCTGACCCTTGGTTGGGTGTAGGTGAGCGTTTTGGCGCCCTTAACGGGCACGGGCGCACCCCGAATTGAGATCTTGAAATCCGGGCATTTTCGAAGTTTGCACCCACGCTGTATTTAACAAAGATTCGTGCAGATTCTACTTCTATTAGAAGTCAAATGTACCTGGTACTACACATGCCTCTAACAGTCATAAAACCTACCTAGCCTGACTGAGACACGCTACACACGGGATTGGCTACAAAACGAGAAGGGAAAAATCCCCTTGGCGCGCTCTAGTGCAGGCTAAGGAGAAAGAGGAGGGGGGGGGGGTCTTGGGCACTCTGGGGGAGGGGTCTTGGGCACCCTGGGGAGGGAGGGTCCTACGATCTGAAACCTAAACTTAGATAAAGGGGAAGGCCTGGTTTCGTCCCTTAACGCATCCGGGGAAGGGTCGAACGAAGCACTTAGTGGCACGGGTGGGGTGCGAATCTAAAACTTGACGCATTGGAGCTGGAGAAAAACTAGCCCTTAATGTCAGGGAATTAAGGGCATATGCCCGTCAATCGTCAGGCCTGGGCCCGGCCCGAGTGGGGAGGTAAGGGCTTGCTGGTTGTTCCCTCCCCTCCTGCGCGCTGGTGAGGTGGGGCGATGTTGTTGCCTTGTGTGTGACGTGGAGGTTGGCGGCTGCCCCACCAGTTTGTGGGAATCTTGGCCGCTCAAGCGGGCGCGTTTCCGGAGGATGCAAACCGGTTTTAGGACAAGAACGGGGGACATGGGAAAACGGGGCAGCGGGGAGAGCAGGGAGACGAGAGGGGACTGCTGAAAAGATTTCTTTTGGTTCAAATACTATGGGGCACCTGTAAAATTTGCTTTCGCGGTCGAGGATGTCGAAGCGCACATTTGGCCAGGGTGGTAAACTGTTCCCGAAGGAAAACATGCTTGCGAGACCTTGCCCGTATGCTGTTTGCCCCAGCCTAGCCCAGGGTGCTTGGTTCAGGTGCTTGCCCATACTGTACTGTGCGGTCGCAGCGGGGTTTCCTGGACGCGTTCGTTTGCCGAACCACAAGGCGCTGGCCTAGCGTTGTTGACCTACTGTACCAAAGCTGCCGTTATTCTCACACAGACTGCTGATTCCACTCATCCTGGCCGTTCGAGGGCTTACGAACGGCCACGATCTTGAAAAAGGCCCTCGAATAAACTCAGCCACCATCCACTGTACAGTGCAATAGTAGACCTGTCGGTGGCGCACTCGCAGAAAACGACAAATATCAGAAATTCTTACGGCTCAGAAATTTGAAAAGCCCACTATTGAACAATCTCATTGAAGAACGAAAGTGTTACAGGGGTGTTTACTGTTCATTCCGAACAGTACATTCCAAGTCACCCTTATCCTTATCTTCTCAGATTCTCTAGTGCCACGTGGCACTCTACTTTTCTTGCACTCCAATTCTTGGTCCCACAATCCACTTTCCAACCTTGTTTCTTGCATGCTATATAAACCTTGCTTGTATTCCCTCATATCAACCAATTCTCATTCAACTCTTCTTCAATTACTCAGTAACTTCTTCGCCTATTTCGCCAATAGTCTTTTCGCCAATGTATTCCGCCGCGTTTTCATCCTCGACTTAGTCGACCCCGCTATTCTTTAGCGGACTTAGGCCGTCGGGCCTAACACTTGGTATCAAGAGCCTTCGCGGGGAGCGACTTCCAACGAGCGACCGTCGACGACGAGACTACGCCGTCATCGTCCCGCGGTGCCGACTTGCAGACTTGGAGTCGTCGAGCGAACATGGACGAAACCATGCACGCTCTCCCCCACGACATGGGCAACACGCTTGCCGAACTCATGCGCCAACTTCAAGAGTTGACGTTGGAAAATCGTCAGGTACGAGCTGAAATGCAACAGCTTCGTGAATTGGCTTCTAACCCCCATGGTCATGCCGCACCTGTCAGAATGTTATTATTGTCTAGCCTGTAGTGGGGTGCTCTATAGCGAGTACAACCCAGTTAGGGTTTGCTATATGTACCCCAACTGCTGCTAGTGAAACCCCTCTCCTTTCAATCATTCTTGCCTAGTCTTGTTGACATGCTATCAGAGCAGGTCGACCCCCTTGGGTCGATCCTGTGGGTGGGCCCGCCACCTAACTGCTTCCGCTGCTATTCTGCTTCTCGCACGCCTCGGGCGCGCGCCGTCTTCTTCCTGCCGTGCGCTCAGGGCGTACGGCGGTTTTCTGCCCGCCGTGCGCCCCGAGGCGCGCGGCGGTTTCCTGCCCGTCGTGGCGCCCCCGGGGACCTGCGCGCTGCCCCCCGTCGTCCTCCTCCCGTCGCCTCGTCGCGGCGCCCTGGGGGCCCGCGCGTCCCCCCCCTCCCGTCGCCTCGTCGCGGCACCTTGGGGGCCCGCGCGCCGCCCCCTCCCGTCGCCTCGTCGCGGCGCCTAGGGGGCCCGCGCGCGGCCCCTCCCGTCGCCCGTCGAGCCGCCCTCGGGGGCCCGTGCGCGGCCCCCCTCCCGTCACCCGCCGTGGCGCCCTCGGGGGGCCCGCGCCCTGCTTCTTCGTGGCGCCCAAGAGCCACCCCGCTGCCTCCCTTTCCCTCCGTGCCCCGCCCCTGCTGTTTCCCGCGCTCCTGCCTGCGTTAGGGTTTGGGGGTGGCGGGCATGGGGGTGACCGGTGTGGGTAACCTGCGGCTCCTCCTCCTCCTCCGTCTCCCACTGCTGCAGCTGCCGCTGAGGGGGGTGGGTGTGTGGGAGCCGAGGGTTTAGGGTTTAAGGGGGGTGCCGTGGAAGTGGAGCTAGGGTGTCAGCAGGGGGTGTGTGAGAGGGGCGTGGGACGGTCGGGGGAGGTTGCGTGGAGGTAGCCGTCGTGACGCCAGCAGCGCCAGTAGTCCGGATGCCCTCGCGCGTTTCGGTAGCCCAGCGAGCCTGCTTCGCCAGTCGCCTGTGGGTCCGTTGCTCCTGTGTGTGCTCGTCGTAGCCGCGGAGCCAGATACTCCCGTAGTCCGGTGCCCTCGTGCGCTCGGTAGCCACTGTGCGCGCCGCTCCTGTTGCCCGTGTGTCTGCAGCTTCAGTCGGCGCCTTTCATCTTCTCGCCCTCACAGTTTCTCCTCCTCCTCACTTGCCCTCTATGATCACCTCTAGCTTTGCTTATAATTGTGAACTATTGCTATGCCTGCTCATTGTACTGATTACACCCCACTTTGACTATGGGGGTGTGTCAGAATGTTATTATTGTCTAGCCTGTAGTGGGGTGCTCTATAGCGAGTACAACCCAGTTAGGGTTTGCTATATGTACCCCAACTGCTGCTAGTGAAACCCCTCTCCTTTCAATCATTCTTGCCTAGTTCTTCTAACAGCACCAACTCCTGCACCCACCACGTCGACTGGCGCGGAAGCGCTGCCGGAACGTCGAAGCGCACTCAAGCCGCAGAAGCCCGAGTCGTTCGACCCGAGCCAACGCGACGCGAACGTGCGGACGTGGCTCTTCATGCTCAACAATTACTTCGCCGTGGGCGGGGTGCAAGAGGCGGACGCGCAGCAGTAGATCGAGTACGCGGTGACGCTGCTGAGGGGCCCGGCCTTGGAGTGGTGGCGCCAACTTACGCAGACTGCTGTTAGAAGGGCTCAGACGGACGGGCATCAACAGGGCGTGGGGCATGCAGCTGCAACTTCGAGCTTAGGGAGTTTAGCTTTGGGTGTTACCACGGTTCCGACGACATGGGAAGGATTTGAAGCGGCGCTGAAAAGTAGGTTCGATTTGGTGAATGCCTCCGAAGCTGCTAAAAAGCGTCTGCGTCATTTCCGTCAGATAGGAAACGTCCAGGAGTACACACGACGGTTCTTGAGCATCTGCAACGAAATAGACGACATCACGGAAGCAGAGATGCGCGATCGCTACCTCGAAGGGTTGAAGCCGGACATAGCGGAGGTTATAGCAATTCATGGGTTGTCCACCTTCGAGTCGGTAGTCGCAGCAGCAGAACGCGTCGACGCAGTACGAAGCCGACGGGGTCGTGACGATCGCGATAGGGGATACAGAAATCCGGTCAACGACGCTCGATCGAAGGACGGACCATCGCCCATGGAAATTGGTGCAGTTAACAGTGACGGCTCACAGCATAACGGATTTAGGGGGAACTGTCACTACTGCAAAAAGCCGGGACACATGAAGCGGGACTGCCCACAGTTCAAGGAGCGGCAGCAGGGAAACGGAAACCGCCAGTAGATAGCGGGTCGCTAGCTGGTGTGGAGGTTCCCGTACCCGCCACGTCTACCAACGTAGAGGAGACGGCCTTGCAGCAGTCATCTACGGAGAACTCGGTAGACACTGTTGATCGACCAGTCGTGCTTCTAGGGAAGCTTCGCGGAGTTCCAGTTAAGATTCTCGTCGATAGCGGAGCTAGCCACTCGTTCGTTTCGTCTTCATTAGTTAGTCGTCTCCATCTCGAAGCAGATTCTGCTGTGAACTTCAAAGACGCACGAATGGTAGATGGGACGCCACACAACATAGGGCCAATCATTCGCAAGTTGCGCGTAGTGCTAGGACCGATCACAGTTAGGCGTGACTTCGACTCTGCGACGCTGGATGGATATGATTTTTTCTTCGGGAGAGACTGGCTACGGACGGTTAGTACTCAGTTCGATTGGGCTCAGGGACGCTGCAGTGTCAAGGTAGACGGGGAGTTCCGGGAGCTGCCACAGTGGAGCGATGGGGCCACATCCTCCACAGCTATCATTAATGCTGTTCGTGTGCGACAGTTAGTGAAGCGAGCAGCACGGATCTTCGCGGTTTTCCTTGAGGAGGTGGAAGCTGAGGAGGGGAAAGGAGGTAGTGCAACAGTTAGTGAGAAGGCGACTCTTCCTGCTGAGGTGAGTGCACTGTTAGCAGAGTTCGCAGACGTCTTCCCTGACGAGTTGCCCCCAGGGTTACCTCCC